GCTGGAAGCAAGGATAAGAAGAATATTAATTTTAAATATGATGCAATCTGGTTTTATGCCAAAGGAATATCATAAAAGGAAAAAAGTTGTGGATCACATGTGTTTTGTGGATCTAAACCGAGTTCCACGGAGTGTGATGGAATGGGCGATGAAAGAAAAAAGTTGTAAATGGAAGGTGAAAAAAGAGCGGTCGATAAGGTGAAACGTGAACTATTTGATCTATTGGAACAACTCGACCTAGAATTGAAAGATCTGTGAGTATTTTGGACTTCTACTGGGAGCAGTCTGCGTGTATCAGAAATGGAAATGACCACCACAAGTACACCACGATCGAAAGAGGTCTAACTAAGGCAAGAGTAGATATTCTCTCCCGATCTGTTTAATATGTATAGTGGAATGATTTTACTTTATGGAATTTTGTGAAGTAACACTTTAACCGAATTAAATGTTCTTGCCAATAGACTTGTTATGGAGGCTACACTTCAATTCATCAAAAACACTAAGAGATTCTTTCAATTGAAAAACACAACAGCAGCAACTCCTTTTCATCTTATTTCTTTATCTACCTCTGAAACATGTAGTTTATGTTAAAAATTAGTGTGTAGAGTTTTTTCATAGTTTGTCACTCATAATGGAGACTAGATGACCTTGTGTCTTTCACCATTGTAAGTGGCATGTATTTAAGTAGTTTTAGTTGTAGTTTAAACATTTTAAATTATAGGAAAAAATAATTTTAAGAAAAATCAATGAATTTGAAGGAATTACTGTTGGAGAAAGGAACTTCAAAAGTATGAGATATGCTGATAGTACAGTTATCATCGCAACCTCAGAAGAGAAACTATAGACACTGTTAATGTAGTGGAAAATAAATTGACATAGCAAAGGATTCGTTTCAGAAAATGTGCAACGTTTTCAAATTAAGTGAAAGGAAATCAGAAACTAAATTAAGATTTCTATAATGCTACATCTTTCCTTTACTGAGCCAGGGTAGAGAGAGCTTGAATAATTCCACTGCAAAGGCAGGAAGACTGCAGGCTGTGGAAATATGATTAATCAGAAGGATGCTAAAAACATCAAGGAGAGAACATGTCAGCAACAAACAAGTCCTTCAAAGTGCCGGAAGGAAAGAAGTTTCCTTCAAAGAATAAGAAAGAGGCAGTTAGAGTTTTTTATATGGGTAATATGGAAATGGGGTTGGGATGTTGAGCAATCACTTGGTAAGAGAAGCAGATGAAGACCAGGTGTTGACTTTTTCAAGAAATTAGGTTTGTGGAAGGGTTTGTCCAGTAAGACTATTCGGAGAAGTCATAGAGTGTCATGATAATATGCAAGACAATATTCTTGAAATTGTTGTCTTGATTAATTGCAAAATGTTTTAAACCCAAAAGTTACCTGCATTTTTAATAAGCAGATCCTTTTAATTGGCATTCATTTTTGCTTTTAACAATTTTAATTACCTTTCTTGATTTCACCTTTCTTAACTTGTTTGTAGATAATTAGTATTTTCAAGACAAAACCTTATTTTATCTGGTATTGTTGTAAGTAGGTAAGAGGTGACCTTGGTATCTAACCTGTAATAAAAACATTAAATGTAATTCTTTGAAGATTTACATAGGATCTGTACTTGAAACTGGAATATTGAATTTATGAAATGGGTCAATGTTACTAAAAGTAATCATAAGACAGTTTTGCTTACCTTAAATTGTTCCCCTATCCAAAATAGCTTTATATTGGTATTGGCATCCTTGTTCAGGAAATGCTACAAAACAAACAAATAGTCTCAGCTTTTTGCAGTGACAGACATACATAGAACCAGGTAAATCTACTGATTGCAACAAACGAACAATGCCCAACTGATTTTCTGATCAGGCACAAATTTCAATCAAAGCAAGAAACCTTTCAAAATTAGGCCAAAAAATTCAAAGCTAGATTTAATAATGTAAAAATAAATATATAAACATTTTTATTGGAAAAATAAAAAAACATGGAATGGATAGTTGAATTAATGTATCATTCATTGCTGTACCAAATTGATTCTCTTATTTTCCTGAAAGAACTATAGCTAGTATTAATTCAAACTTCTACTGAAAGTCATCAAGATCTTTATTATTGAGATTTTCATTATGAAATCTAAATTTTGAAGAATGAAACATAAAAGTGAATAGCTGTAGAAGCAGATATCGAACACAATCAGGACAAAATGCTACAAAATTGCTTTGATATGCATTCTGGCCGCCATCCACTGCACTTATTTGCATATTTTTATTAACAGGAAATATTTAATGACATCATTCTCTCTTAAATTTAAAAAATGCATTATGTCAAACAGGTAATATACTCCAAGGAAAAACTTTACAAATTCTTTGAACATATTATTTAGATCAAATTCTCCTTCTAAATGAACATCTAAAAAGAATTTTTAGAAATATATTCTAGATTCCTTGTAATTATTCACTAAAAAATGTCTTGTTAAGAACTGTCAAAGATTTATGCTCTGTATTCAAAAATGTTCTTTACCAAGATGGTGCTCTCCTCTCATAGTTTTCCAACTACTAGGGGAGCTCCTTCTTTAAGAAATTCCAATATGTGCAAATTAGACAGAACTTTTTTCTATATATTATAGACAACATTCACTTATTCTTTCCACAAAGTGCACTCATGCTGTCTTAATGAAACTGCACTTAAAACCAAAGTAGTAACTATAATTTGATCAAAATTCTCCTAGAAAGAACTGGGAAGTAATTGAAACTTCAATTCAGTTCAGTTAAGTTCAGTTTAATTTTTCAAATTTTACTATATACAATTGATCACAAAAATTCAACAAATAAATTGTTAAACTACAAAAAATAAGACTATGTTACAGAAAAATCAATAAGTAAAATTCTTACCGTAATCATTCAAGGAAACAAATAAAATAAAATAAATTGTGTGGAGGGGATTTCTTACGGAAGAGCTATCTCAGTAGTCAAAAAGCTAATGGAGAGAGAGCACCCCATAGACTGGAGAGAAAGACTCAATTTGCATAATGTCTTGATACTTTAATTATACATGATTTTTACATACTTTGAAACAAATAAACTATAATAAATATGATAGTGAAAGGTACATCCAGAAAGCTGGTGTAATTGTGTTACAACAAATGTTGTTTCAGTAATTCATTGTCCTTTCAAATGGAAAAGATTTAGAAGGCTCTTTTGAACATGTTTTGTTAAAAAAGCTCAGCTTCTTGTGAATTTGGAAACTGTGCCATAAAAGCATAACAATGTTTACTACAAACTTTGCATGAGCATGAGGAATCACACAATTGGCTTTTTGAGAAAATAATTTGGTATTTCATAGCCATCAACAAATCAAACAGAAACAAAAGACTTCAATCATACCTGATGCCTCTTTGGTTTGCCAGTGAGATTTGGGCAAACTTGGGCATTTTTCCTTATTCTTTTCAATAAGCCGCTAAATCTACCTGAATCTATGGGCAAAAAAACTTCAATGTCTTCAAAAATGGCATACAAAGACAAAATATCTTACATTTTTCGCTAAAAATAACGTCCAAGTAAACTACCCAAAAAAATCAAATATCTCCTTCCTGCCTCTCTGTTATTTCTTTTCCGTTTTCTTTTTCTTTCTATTATTAACGCTGCTTTAATTCTATAAAAAATACTTTTCAAGCTTTGATTAAAGTTATGTAAATACACCTATAATTTTTTTAAACTCGGTTATTTTTGATGCTTTCGAACAAAATTTAATAGATGAGAATGTATACCTGACTTGCTAAAGTCGATTCTTTTGAGAATGTTTTGTCCTCTACCGGCTTCATTTGATGAACATCCATTTAAAATAGTGATAGTCGTGAAAATTGAAAGTAATATTGAATGATGAAGCAAACCAGTAATCATTTTTGCAGAGGTTCACCAATGTACTCCACCGACGACTACGGACTTACAATTCTGAAAATAATAGCGACCATTACAGACACGAGTCCTTCAAAACAACCAGTACACGTTACCGCAATTCGATCCGAGACTAATGACGTCAGTTCTCACCTCGAGGCCGTCTACATGCCAACCATATGATGCATACATTTTGCATTAAATTTTAATTTAAAATGAAGTATAATAATAATTTCAGTGAAACACATCGTCCTTTCCTCAAGAAGAAAAAATATTTTAAAATTCTAGTATTTATGTCCTATGCATCTGTGAAAATCAGATGATGAAAGATATTCTAGCAGGACATTTAAATGCTAGTTGCTGGTGCATTTCCGTTTTAGTCAGCAAAATTGAGCATTGTCGGGTAAATATTCTTTTTTAAATTTTCAGACAAAAAAAACTGTGCATAAAAACATTCAAAAGTATTAAAAAGTTCTGCAGTTCAGTTATTCCGTTTTATTGTTCATGGCCACATCTAACCATTTGCCTTGTGGGACTCTTTTAATAAGTTTTGATTGATTTTAAAATAGCATTTTTAAGTAACATTATAGATTTATAACTCATTATTTGAATTTTGTACTAGGTATGAACCGGGCTGCATCGCCCCCCCTCCCTCCCCCCCACTCATTAGATAGTGCTTTAATCAGTGACCTTTGATAAAAATAGGGGTTGGACCTTTCAAGTCCTTAGGGAAAGGGAGTGGGCACATAGATAAAGGTCTTAGTGATATAATATTATCATTAAATTTTGTGTATTAGTTTGTTGTTGGAAAACAAAACAATCCTATCTGCAAAAGGCACCCACTGGACTGCTCTTTCGATGGATAAGGATGGATTTAAGCTACTCTTGGTTTCTAACATCTTTATCATTTCATCTCATAATCATTTTTAATATGTCAAGCTTGTGATCACCAGCGGAGAAAAGTGTTTCAAATACAACTAAAATGATGTTTTGCCTCTCAAAGGTATAGGCTACATTAAAGTTGCTAGATTCAAACGTAAAATACTTAATGTCTCTGTCAGGTTGGAATGATCCCATCACATTTGGTCCCACCACAACCAAGATAGAAATCAAATACACAAGAATATGCTGAAGTTAAGTCAGATATTGGAAAAGGTTTCATCTAGTTTTTTTTACCGATTCAAAGAATAGGAAAGTCAACATAAAAAGGTACCTTGAAATTTATAGCAAACGAAATACAAGTTATTTTTTGTAGGATAAAATCAACAGCATTTGCATCTGTACCATAGATCTGCAACCAAGGCTTTGAAAGGCAGACAAAAACTTGCTTAAACTAGATCTTGAACTGGCAACCGAATAGAGAAGAGGAAATATGGCTCAACTAGCAGACTTGAGTGCATTACAACAAGCATTATATTCATCGAAAGAATGGAAAGAAGTTTGAAGATTTGTTTCTAACTTCATTCAGTTCTTGCTTTCTACTGACAGAGGTTTTAAATTACTATATGTAGGCTCTCAAAGTTATAATCGTAGACCAAGTTATAATCATATACTTTAACTTAAGTCATCTTAAATTTCTCAATATACAAAAAACTACAAATTTGACAATATAACTGGTTCTCTAGAGCGCAAAAGATGTCTTGGTAAATCAAAAGGACTTCCATTCAATCAAACATCTAGTAAATTTCTCAATATTTAGGCAAGTATGTTGCTTCTTTCACGTGTATTTTTGTTACTGATTGTTTGTGTCTCGTGTGATTATACACAAGTAAATTACAGTGGAATCCCCATATAACGAACTCTAAAGAGAACCAGAAAATAGTTCGTTATATTGGGAGGTCGCCAAACCGAGAGAAAACGTTTTTTAGGTCATTTCGCAGTACACGCCTTGAAAATCATTCGGTATGCATGTTTAGGCTGTCTCCAACACCTGTGCGTATTCAGCTCCAAAAACCAAGCTGAATTCAAATAATACTGCCAGTTAGTTTGTTAAAAATTAAAATCTTAATGTTCCTCTTATCATTTGAGACCAAGAGATTGGCAAAGCTGTTATCACTTCACTTCTAGATGGCGTTATATTGACGTCTTCGATTCTTCACATTCTACTTGTCTTCTTCTGCTTCTCCATCTGGGTCTCTCAATAAAATTTCGTCGTCACTCATTGCCAATGTCTCATATGTAAGAAGGCACTCATTCATTAGTGTCAATGTACTCATTCGCAGTGATTCCTGGCGCAATCAGACTTTCATCCTGTGCTCTGAGCCTTATCAGCCAGTGCTTGAAATGAATCATCAGCATTTTTTGCCCATCACAATAATGATTTCCCCCAAGAGAAAGTGATAAATGAACATCGAAAATAAATGGATAAAAATAACAGACGGAAAAATTATGAAAAGTTCGTTATATTGAGGGTAATTATGGGGAAGGTACCCAAAATTTGGTTCGCAATATCAAAAGTTCGTTGTATCCAGGGCTCATTATACCGAGAGAATTTGTAAGGAGTTTTTTAGGCAGAATCCAAGGGACTAGACATTTAGTTAGTTATACCGGGAAGTTAGTTGTATCCGGGGTTTGGTTTAATCGGGATCACACTGTATTCACTTTCCAAAAAGAAAACTTGATAAGATTTGAATTTTGAAATAGGCAGTCCTAATCTGAAATAGAAAATAATGCATACATGCAACAAACATTATTTTTTAGATATACATTTATATATATTATATATATATTTGTATACTTTTTTGAAGTGATTTGCCCCTTGGGTATATCAGCATTGAATAATATGAGGGAGCCATGCCGTTTCTTGATGAATTTTTGTTGTTTGCCTGGACCAAGTCTCGTCAAGAAAGTTTTATATTTAGTGTTTTCTAACAGTCAGATTCGAGACATTAAAAAGAAAGCATGTAAAGTGACGTTTCTTTGCTTATAAGAAAGGAAAGTGCGTATCTCCATGGATTTCGGTTTAAAATTTAAATTTTGTAAATATATAACGTTGCATTATAATACGACACTTTAGATGCTGTTGCTCTTTTTTAGGGCCTTTGGGAGTAGATAACGCTCAAAATTTTCACTGTGTTATCAAAAAGACAAACTTTTCTTTTGCTTTTTAATTCTATTGGGACTGCCTTTCTTGATTCTAATGAACTCCAACTTTTAGCACTCAATGATTATTATTTTGCTTTAGGAAGGACAATGGCCAATTGCAAGGATTATGTGGCGTGTTTATCACCATAGATGACCATTGTGATGAGTAGAAAGACAGCAAAGGAAAATTACCACGAAACTGAATAGATCTAATGATAATTACAAAGCAACACAACAAATGTTACATTAACAAATTGATGGTTAGGGAAAGGTACGCGACGCACGTTGCTATGGAAATCCCGATGAATTGATGTATATAAAAATAGTCCCATCAAAATCCTGCGAATCAAATCAAGTCACTGAAAGAATAATCAACTAGCCAATAGATATCTGCAACAAAATTCCGGTCTGGATGTGCTATATTTCACCAAGTTCTTGTCCAATTCTATAGCTAACAATTTTATTCCAGTCGATTCTCGTTCGTGTCAACGGCAACACCCTTCGCAGGGCCTTGAAAGTAGTTTCTGACATAACACCATAATTCTCAGCGATGGCTTTCTGAGAAAAGAAAACACAAAAACAAAGTAGTTACAGCAGGAAGAAGGCAGCAGGCCTGACTGACTGACTGACTGACTGACTGACTGACTGACTAACTGACTGACTGACTGACTGACTGACTGACTGACTGACTGACTGACTGACTGACTGACTGACTGACTGACTGACTGACTGACTGACTAACTGACTGACTGACTGACTGACTGACTGACTGACTGACTGACTGACTGACTGACTGACTGACTGACTGACTGACTGACTGACTGACTGACTGACTGACTGACTGACTGACTGACTGACTTACTGACTGACTGACTGACTGACTGACCGACCGACCGACCGACCGACCGACCGACTTACTGACTGACCGACCGACCGACCGACCGACCGACCGACAGACAGACAGACAGACAGACAGACAGACAGACAGACAGACAGACAGACAGACAGACAGACAGACAGACAGACAGACAGACAGACAGACAGACAGACTTAAAAATAATGCTAGTAGACCTTAATTAGACTTTAGGCTAGAAGTCGTCTTCACATGGATGCATTTTGAATTTAACAACGACCAGATTTATGACGCGAATTGAGAGCTAAAATAAGGGGGAAAAGACAATTGCCCGCAATTCATTTTTCCCAGTTGCATATATATATTTCTAGATAAATGCTTACCTGATATTCGCTCTCTGCGCTTTCGATAAGTTTTCTGAGCTCTTTTGCTGTAGCTGAAGGATCCTACGTGAGAGAAAACTATGAAATGCACTGGAAGCAAAGGCCGATTTAGCGCCCTTCATCGATGGAGCATCCCCAAGAAAATTAATGAGCGCCCCCTTCGAATGAACAAGCCCTGGGAGTAGTGTTTACTTGAAAGGATGTTGATCCTTGATTCAATTTACTTGTTGGTCTTTATGTTCTGTGCTTTGGCAAAATATGTTGGGTAAACGGAGTCTTTTAAAGAGTTTTTTTGCTCAAAAACATATTGTGATTATTTTTAGTGGTCCAGCCTTCGGTCTTTCAACAGGCAAAGAATATAAGAGGATAATGGTCCACCAGTTTAAGTATTTAAAAAAGACCTGCTTTGCAAAGTACAATATTGTTGAAATCTTATAAGAGGTTGCCTACCGTTGTTTTGAGTTCTTTAGTGACCTCCTTATGAGACACGAGCTGCACGTTTCCATCCTCGTAGTAGTGAACCTGACAACAGAATAATTCTCACATTTTAGCGAGTTTTTGCAGATTTCACACTAAGCGGCAATGCACGCGCAAAATTAGCAAGTGAATGATCAAACCGAACAATTTTAAAAAATAACAATAGCGGTATAAGAATATCTAGGAATTGAGATAGACTTAACAGCAAGCTCCGCTTTATCGAGTTGGTCAATCAATTTGTATCAAATTCCATCGAAGGTCATTTGAAATATTTTTTATATACTTGTGAATTTGCAACACTAATCAAAGACATTTTTTCTGATTTTATGTCCAAGGAATATTTTGCACCTGAATGAGTAAGAAAACTTTGTTAAGAGAGTGGGAAATATCATATGCGATATTGATTTAGCACATTGCCAAAGTCAAAATAAAAATCCCGAGCAGTTAAAACAAAGGAAAATCAGATAGAATTATCGGTTAACTTTGTCATCTCTCTTTTTGATACTCACAAGAAAAGATTCAATCTTACAAACAGTGTACAAAAAAAATTACAATTACATTTCACTTTATATTAAAAAGACTTAAAATGCTCAAACGGTTTATCTAGAAATATTTGGAGACGCTTTACAATATGCTTATATAATGCCTAATATGCTGTATGAAAACACAAGCAATATCCAAGATGCAACAATGACATCAAAGTCAGTTTTAACGTGATAAATGAACTTGTTAGAACCAACCTGCACACGAATAAGACCTTTCAATTCGGATGCAGCATTAGGCTTCACAGTTACAGTCCACTCGGCTCGCCAGCGCCCGTTCCTGTAGAAGGCCAAATGAATCAAACCGAATACTTATTGATATATTCAGGTGGGACAAGACAATTTTTAGGCTTTCTCTTTCCGCGACATGCCTCATCTCCCGATCGCTGCACCACCCATCAGTTCCTTCTTGCTAATATTTATTACATGAACTTTGCTTTTATTTCTTATTTTCAAGTTTCTGTTTTCTAATAGTTGCTCCATTAACTAATATAAATTAATACACACAGGACAGAATTAAAAAATATGCTAAAAAGCTGAGTAAAAGTCCTGGATGAGCAACTTTAAAAGGATCATTCACCAACTACCAATTTTTCCCCATTCTTGTGATTGCCAAGTTGTTTATGGAGCCACACAAAGAAAACCAACTAAATACATACTGGCATTTTGCAAAATTATTTAATGTTGGCAAAAGTAAAAAGATCTCGACAAAGACTGAAGAAATAAGTTTGATTTGACTTTACGGTTACTTCAATTTAAAACTGAGTACAAATAGATTGAACTAAAAGCTAAATTATGCCTCCCGTTCTCTCCAGTAGTATAGAATCAATTATACCAACTCAGGAGGCACATTTCGAAAACTATGTCAGCAGATAATCAGCAATTACGTTTTGATAAGGAAAGAGTGCATCCAAATCAAAAATCTTACCAGAAGTTTTTTGGCTGGAACTGGTGATCCTCTATACAAATGGTCAATGTGATACCATCATCTGTATCTTTGCCATACACCTTAGGAATAAAAAAAACCTCACGATTTGACAGGGAGAAATTTTCTTAACACAAGTACTCAAAAACAAACATTCCCACAAATAAACTCACCATCAAACTTTTTAACGAGAGAATTTTGAAAGAATCCTTTGAAAAAATGTTTTGATACGTGCAAAAAACCTTGAAGGAAGCAGATGTCTAGCAACAAGCATTACTAACCGTACAAATGCCATGAGGGTAATGGTTCTTGACATAAGAAAGAATTTCAGACTCTGCAGCAGATCTCCACGATTCAGCTTTGCCTTCAACTTCATACGGCTCAACATTTTTCGACTCCTGTTGAATTTCAGTGATCAAGAATTAACTATGCTTGAATTGTACGTTCTTCTTATATACCTTGCAAACAAAGATTCATTTAGTTTATGCCTTCAGTTTACTTCTATGGTACAGAGAGGCTGCAATTAGCGAACTTTATTTTCATAAGGATAACATAACTTAGGAAATCTAGGAGAAAATGTTGTAATTACTTAAAGGGCCACTCCGGCCCAAAAAAAATTTCTGAGATTTTTGCGTAAATTGGTAGTTATTCGAGAAAAAGAAGCTAGCGTGAATTTTTTTTTCTGGAAAAGTTTAACTTGTTTTCCAGATATAGACGCTTAAAGTTGAGAATCACCGTACAAATACGACAAAATTTTTTCGGAAAAAGTAATTTGTGACGTGTGAAAGGGCTATTGTTTCAACATTCGAGGCTATTGTTGTACGTTCGCACTGAAATTTGCACGACTCGGTAGAGGCTCGGAAGAGACGATTCATGTCGGAATCTCGGTTGTCGTTTTATTTATTTTCCTTAATTGCGATTGCCAGCATGGATTAGAAATACGACAAATCAAAGATGGATACTTCAATTTGAACGCAAATCCTCATCTTGGCAACGCAGCAACCTTTTTAAAATCGAATGCTTCACGAATTTTCAGATGTGAATGGATTTCTGTCCAAAGGCTTTTCTTATCGTCGTCTCATCTCAGGGATTTCCAGGGAGCTGAATAATAATTGATGTCTCACCGCAATAGAAGAAGAACGCCATTCACAAGGCGGAAACTTTCCCGTAAGTCACAATTCATCCTTATCATTTTACAGTTTTGAACTTTTGGCGAAACTGCAGGGTGTAGAGGTTTGGAGGGGGTTTGGGGAAGATGTGACACGCACCTTCTAAGCAACGTAAGTTGCCGGTCTTTGAGAAATATTTCTGCCTCTAAATGCAAGATTTCTAACAGCCAGTCTAGTGAACTGTCCCCCAAATGGTCAGAGTAGTGGTACTGTGAAAAGTACAACAGGGGCTCTCAAGCAAAATGTCACATAAAACAGTACCAAAAGTAGAGGTTTGCTACTTTTTTGTAGCCTCCTACCACTACATCCCTTCCAATGATCTGTGTACTACACCCCTGGCCGAGGTGAAGATGTGTAAAATTTTCCAGGGTTTGGCTCTTGAACCCTTTGTTTTCATATTCTACCATGTTTCCCCTTCAATTTTTGAGCTCTGCCTATTTCATCATATTATTGATGCACAATTTCAACATTTTGCCAGATCGATAACAATGGCAAAAGATTTACTACCACAAAGAGAAACATGAAATTTATACCCTTGGTTTTGGAAGCAGATGTGTCATATCCTCATTCTATTGTTTTAAAGGCAGAATTGTTCATATTTGTTAAATATACCTTTGCTATTCTAGCATTGATTGATTCATATAATCAAGGCCTATATCATTTAAATTTATCTTTGTTACTTCAAATTAATATCCTTAGATGCTACCTGCTATAGTAAAAAGGGTTGCCCTTTCAATTAATTTCTCTCTGATCTATACTCTGAATGCCCCTGAGTGTCCAAAATAATGATTTCTTTGATCATTTATGTTACAATATGACTTTAAAGTAAATTTCATTGGTATGTTAGTATTTATTCTTGTCAATATTTTTATTCTAGGCATAAAAAAGGTAACAAACTCTTTTATGGACCAGCAGAAAGGATCTTGCATAACTTGCCCCTCTCTTCCATGCAAGAGTTACCACAAAAACCTCAACACATTGTTCTGCTTTTGTATTAAAACTTTTACAAAGGAGACCTTTTTAAAATGATCAAAATTTTATAGTTTTTTTGGTTATATATTTATATAACGTTTGCAAATCTCCAGCTATTACTTAAAACTAGTAGTTCACTGCTAGTTCACTGGCCTGATTATTTTGATATTTAAATACATAATTCAATTTAGCTAAGTATTCAAATACAAACATACATTATTTTATTATTCATTAATATAGCAGGTTAAAATTCTGAAAGCTTAAAGGAGCTGACAAGGCCCCTGTAATAGCTTAAAGATTTAATACAAAAAATATCTGTACCAAACTATAATGAAAAAGTTGAAATGTTAATATAATCTCAAATTCCTTTTTTGTTTGCATAAGAAAATATTTATAATTTTAAAAAAAATTATTTGACTCATAACTAATGGTAGGTTTTTAAGGCTTGCCTTGAAAGTTTGTATACTTTCTTGTTCATGTCCTAGATTGTCCTGGTTTATTCCAATAAGTCATGTTAATATGAAGCTCTTTATCCTAACGAATATGTTGTATCAATTCATACACAGCTTTAATTCCCAGTATCAAGACTGTTCGACGATACTTGTCTCTTTATATAGATAAATGTCTGGCCTTCTAACAAGCATGCTGCTGCTTGCTAGACACTTGTCTGCCATTTCGCTAGGTTCTCGTTGCCGTGAACATACCAAGGGCAACAATGTTTGTGGCGTCAATCTGAAGCGCTCCGATAAAACGGTTGAAAAACAATTCAACTCAATGACCAATTTACAAACGCTAATAACTACAAAACGGTTAGAGATTTTCAGGAGGTCTGATTACATCGTGTTCTGAAATAAAAATCTTGGACTGGAGTGGCCCTTTAATGAAACCCTTGAGTTTGAAAATGGGGAAACTGTGATTAAAATCGTTGCACTAAAACAAAGATAGTATTCAAAACAAAGCCAGTGCTTGATAAAATATATACTCAATTTTGAAGATAAAATTATCAATGATCATTAGCATAAAAATTTATTGCTCTTACCTTTCTAAGATGATCATAGGAAAACTTTTGTTTACTTCTTGGATCGAAGAAAGTGCCGTCGGGCAACAGACCATGCTTTGTTATTAGAACCTAGAGAGGAAAATGAAGACGTTACATTTTGGCACTAATGCCAGATTGAAATAAAGCATTTTTAGAATTGGTTGATGGGAAGAAAGGCAACAGCCATTCACTCAATCCCTGGATGCATGTGCTGTGTTGTAAAAACTCCTGCCAGCATCCATGTTTTCAATATCCAAAAAGATGAACAAAATTGACATAAAATAAAATAAAAATAAAAGAAAGGCCATGGTATCAAGGTGCTCAACAAATGGAATGCTTGCAGCAAAAAGTTGATACAAATTTGGAAAATAAGGAACAGGGCCACATACTTAGAACATCACTTTTCAAGGTAGCTTACATGTATTTGGCCCTGGCATGGCAAGCTACCTTCAATTTCCTTGTGTTTGTTGTTGTTTGTTCTTAGCACATTGTCGTATTCCTTATATTCTACATTCTAAATGTTATGATAAAGGAATTTTAGCAATGCTTCTGTTTTTAACCGGGCTATCTTTATGGCTGGCATGGTTAATGCATATCCTGTTTTTGGAATATTGGATAGCTTTAAAAACAGACTGTTACATGTTGTAGAATTGGAATCTACATGAAACAAAAACGAAAAATTAACCTGGTCCTCTGAACCTTCCACTTTGCAAGGTGTAAACTGTTCCATGTTGTAATGAGAAAAGGCTCTGAAAAGTAAAATACAGCTTGATAGGAATGATTTTCATAACACTTGTGATGAGCTTTTCTCAATAAAGATACAAAGTCTATTCAGTCCCATGACAAGCACTGGAAGTAAGAGTATATATTTCCAGATAAGAAAGGACAACATTTCCAAAAAAGGTGGTGATCCAACAGACAGTATTTATTCAGTTTGTGAAACTCTAACAAAAGCTTAGTGAAACTGCTAAAATAATATACTGATAACTACCAGAAGTGACTTACTTACCAATAAAATTATTTATTTCAGCATGGAAGTAAATATCTGCTAAAAGTTTTGTCCCTTGAGCGAGGTTCGATAACATTACTTAACATTACATTACAAGATACATAATATCGATCAAAGAAAAAAGCATTGTCCGCAAACAAAATGTTGCAAACTATTCAATGTTGTAGCATTTTTTCAAAATAAAAATACTAGTTCCATATCACATACGTTATTCCGTGCTCTTTAAGCAAAACATCATTATTAAGGATAACCCTGCAATCTGAAAGTAAAAAAAGAGATATGGTTAACAAGAAGGGGTTTGTAGCAGAAACCAACATGTTTGATGTATTACTACAAAGACAATGGGAAAAATAAAACAAAATACTATATAGTTGTTTCAACTGGATATGTTAGTATCTGGCCTCTCAGTTTGAGGCGCGTGGGTTGCATGCACTTGCTTTGGCACAAGCCTAGGCAAGAAAATGTCTGCATTTCGAAACACACCTGCTTCATAAAAAGTAGCGATGTCTAACTTCTCAGCCATTTTCAAGGTGACTTTTTAGAAACTCTGTCCTGTTACATTGGGAATAATTTTCAAATTGCAGAATAGGGAATTACATGACACAATATGCATGCTAAACAATGGAAACTCTACTGGTTTAATGTGCGGAAAAAACTTCTCCAAATGGCCCTAAATCTGTGTCATCAAAGTTATCATTACAAGAAGTAATTTATAAGGAAGTAAGGGGCTTAAGGTGCTCTATTTCACACCTCTATATAATTGCCTTGAGAAGATCTTTGGTAGGAGTGCAAAATGTCACAAAAAATAGCAGCCAAAATAGGAATTGATTCCTTGTTTGCATTGAAGCATTACATCCCTGAGCCCTTGGTGTGATAGTGTGTCGTGTTGTTTACAGTATCATGTGAAAAGATCTCAGGCCATGTCTACACACATGCTTGGTCTAAAGCTGGCATTTCATTTTCAATGAAAATAAATCAAACATTTTACATCCCAACAGAAATGATGAATTGTCAAATATTGTCCCGTTTTCAAATGATTCAACTCTTGATTGTTTTTAAACGTTTTTAAATGTTTTCTCACTGCACAGAAAATATATAATATTTTCATCTAAAATGTATTTAAGAAGATGGCTTGGTTTGATCAACATTTTCTTTAAAAGATATATTTTGCTTTATGGCAAATAATACTTTTCTTTATTGCTCTCTGTGGCTATTTGAAGGTTCTTGATCTCAACCAAGCATTTTTTCAGGCAAGGCTTGAATGTTATATTGAAGACATCAGGCAGTCATTGAAGCCATACACTGTTCTATATACCTAAAATTTTGCTACCCTGGTACACTACTTTTAAAATGACTTAAATTAATAGCTACATTTGAAACATAGTAATGTCAGGGCAATGTTGTTTTGATTACTGATGACTTTAAAAATTTTATCATTATAACATTCTAATAAGTTTGAAAAAAATTACAGTGTCTTCATATTTATTCTATCCCTTTCAAGACCTCAAGTACTTGAAATTCTTAAGAAATCATAACACAGTTTCAAGTCCAGATGAAGTAAGCAGTAATCGCAAATTAACTCCAAAGAATATAACTACCATTGAAAACTTCATTGAATTCTCCAGGGGGTGCATGCTTGATGAAGTCTGACACAATTCTGATCTAAAATAAAATCAATTAGGGTCTGGTTATAACAGTAGTCATTTCTTATGTTTTAACTTTAAGCTTTCATCAGAGACAATGAACAATTAAAATATATTTAGCATTTAAAGGCTGAGAGGATCCAAACTTTTGCCACATTTGTGCTATTGTTTGATCAGCCAATGGCATGAAAATAAAACTGCAAATTTAATGAAGCATAAATTCAAATATTCAATTTTCATTTTTGAAAATTTCAAAGAAACAATTCAGGTAGCTTTTAAAAAAACAAACATTTTGTGGAGATGCTTCTGGCTCTGAAAAGTGCAGAAAATCGCAAGTCAGTGTTGGTTTACCTCAGGGATTTCAGATATTGCTCGTTTTAAGATTAGGTACTTGTAACGGCCGAGGAAGGACAAAGAGCTTGCAGGTTTTCAGGTAAATTTGATTAAAACTTTCAGGTAAACATTGTAAGGGGAATGTGTTGCTTTTTTTGAAACAGACTGCCTTCCTCATTTCCCTAGCATTGATTTGATCTGCCAAAGAGTCTGTTTTGCATTATTCTGACATATTTCACTGCATTAACCTGCACATTGCTAGTTGTCCATTTACCAATTTATATAGGCCTAACTGTACCAAAAAGTTTAACAATTTGAGTTGAATGATTTGTGGGCTAAAAAAGTCGGAACTAATGATATCATTTGTTGTTTCTTTAACTCTCACTATTTTGCTAACTTTTTCTAAAAAAAAGTAATTAAATCTTTAGAGTCTAAGACCATTTACACTATGTTTTATCACAACTACTTGCTCTTTATCCTGTTAAAATTTTACCACTGCCGATATAACTTTATAATTTGTTATGTAAATATTGAAATTCTAAGTATTTCAAAATTCTCAATAAATTTCAAAGAATTTGATCCCTGGATTAGCATGATTATGTTTATTTTTGATTGATTTAGATGCTGTAATACTTTTGTCCTGGTAGTGTACATTAGGCTCCGGTTATAGTCACACCAAATGTTACTTGAAACTTTGTGCTAGCTAAAGCCTAGCAAACACAGCAGATTTTTGTTGCATGCCTTTTGAGATAATCTTTGAGATAAAAAATATTTTATATTTGTCTTTGGTTTTAGCTTTTAATGATAAAAACCATCAAACATATATTTGTCATTCACATGACTTCTCTTTGGGGTCTTTCCCACCAAAGAGAACAGCCCATCTTCCACTGAAAAAATAATAGAAAAGAAGGGGGAAGTGCAAGAACATTCCTGCTGTGTGCAGCAACTAGCTCATTCGAGAAATACAAAAATCTATTGCATGTGCTAGGCTTAAATTCAATAGCTTTGCATCTTTGGGTACAAATTTCATGTGACTGTAAAAGGTAAGTATTTCATGGGACACTAGTGTGACTTTCCAGGGTGCATTTAATGTCAATTGTATGTCAAAGGTCCATTGGGGCATTTGTTTAGGTACAACAGAAATATGACCAGTTAGTGAAACTGCAAATATTATACGCCAAATAAATTGATTAATAGAAAAAGCTGCGTTGTTTGAGTACTTTAATCTTTTTCATGTTAACTATGTACCTGGCTTCTTGTTATACACCATGTTTTATGTACAACAAAAATTTTTATTGGATTGCACGCCAAACACAGGAAAAAACTTGAGTGTATGCCAAAGGTCTTTGGGCCTGACTATTAGCTGAGTCAACCGTAAATAATTCATAACTAGAGTATGAGCATTTTATCTGAAATAAGATGGTTCAAGGGTACAAAATGAATGTAAGTAATATTCTAAGCATAATAAATTAAACATGCATTTGGAAATTCAAACAGTGGCAAACACTTCACACATAGGAGTTGGAATAAGAGTAGAATATAAGAGGTATAAACAGGAGTGGCTGGCAGGGAGAAAAGGTTGGTCATAGATTTTAAAGAAATCTGGAATCGCTTTAAAAACTGCCTTATTTCGATAGGTAGCAGATTAATGGAAATTATTTTCTAAAAATGGCACATTTATCGTTAGGCATACATGACCTAAAATATTATGAATGCTTGTGATTTTGGATTAAAGATATAGCAATCCCTCACATTAGTAGAATCACATTTCTATTAAGGCAGTGGCTATCATTTAGAGCAGCCAGCCATCACACAATAAAACTGACCAACGGCTGTCTACTCCTACCTATAAGCCGCTGCATGAATAGAAATGCGATTCCATTCATGCCGAGTGGTCGCCTGGCTAGGAGTCAAGGACTGTCTTTAAAAGGACCAACCATTAACCAATGGAAGAAAAATTATTCCATATAGTTTGGGTTTTAGTGCTCCATAATAGAGAAAATACAACCTTCCACACACCTTTAATTAAATACAGCAAACAGAAATTTGTATTTTCCAACTTCATCGTCACAAATCCAAGAATATTTGCTTGTTTAAAATGGAAATGCTGTTCCTATATTAAACTCCATAATTTAGTGAAAGTACCCTTGGGTATGTTCACAAAAGAACAAATGAAATGCTTTTGGGGGCCCAGAAGGTCACCTTTGTAGTGCGTGAATAGAAAAGCAAAACTATTAATGCAGCTAACATGCAACGGCCACAAGGCATTCTTTCTTCTGAAATCTGTGACGCATAGCTGCTGTAGAACAAAATGTCAAACCCTACACGTTCATAGTATTTGAAAACTATGAGCATGGCTGTTTCTTGATTTTGTGGCGGCCAAGAGATAAGATCAAAACAACAAAAGTGTTACTAAGACAGAATAGAGCGGTAGAAACAAAAGTATTTAGATTGGGTCAAAGGACAGACGACAGACTTCACCTGGAAAAGAGGCCATTGTGCTCATCAAATTATTATATCTCAGACTTTTCTTTCTCTGGAAAAAAATTTGCTCATAGACTATTCATACTATGAGCAGTGCCCGCCGCCCCTGGGTGTAAATATGTAATTTTTCTCAATTTGGCAAAAAGTGTCTTTATATTCAACAAATTTATAGACACGATTTGAGTGGCAAAGCAAGTAATTGCATATAAAACCCAAGATCCATCTTATTAACAAAAGATTTAATATTCCATGCTTCTTTTCCTGATTCCAAAAGCAGTTTCTGATGGTAAGCTATGTAGGTTTGAAGTTAGGATCCCCAAAGGATGGACATACTCCACTAGACCAGGCGGCGATTGCCCGCATGCACCTCCATGCTCACCTCGGGTTAGCGAGGCAAGCTATTATTCGCTCGCCTCAATGTCAGTTTGCATGTTAACTGCCTGCGCAAATAAATAACTTTAAGCTAAATAATTAAGTAATTTATGAACAGCTGTGGTTTCTCATAACTGGCTATAATGTACATTTAAGTATACAGGAGATCCCCCACTGATAGATATAGCATGACTTTAAGTTGCTTTCTAAGGACTGTTACAAAACTGTCATCTCTCAAAATCTTTTAATCTTAAATTTCCAGTACTAGCTGAATTGATAAGTCTCGCTTAATAAAATACGTGAATTTTCCTGTGACAACAAACTCAGAAATAAAGAGCCTTCAAGTACTCAAGTACTGTGAGTTTGTACTTCTGTTATAGCAAAATTACACTATGTGATTTGATTTTGATTCTATTCAAATCTTGTTAGTGAGAAAGTTGTTGATTTGTGACTATACGAAACTATTCTTTTTTTTCTGTCAGAGTATCGCCATCTTGTTTTGTAAACTTAGCTGTTAAAGACTGTTGTTTATTCATATATATACTTTTCATGATGATTTTCAAGAGACTAAAAATCAGACCCCTGACTTTACAGAGGAGAACGAAGCACCGCTCGCCTGCTGAATTGCTCACCGCCAGGCCTGCTAAACAAGTGACTTTTGAAATCTTTTATCAAAATCGCTCTCAAACGTATTCTTAAGCCTCAGTCACTTAAGTTCAGTTTACAAGCATTTTTATCATCTTATATTTGCAACATAGTTCTCTTAAAAGGTCCTTTAAGTATATATTTATGATAAAAATCAACAAAACTTCTGCAGAAATGAGCATTTTATTTTATGGAATTTGCATCCTTACGTGCTCCAGTAGCTTTCAAAGTATATGCTTTTTCAACTTTTCACTGTATTACAGCAGTATAATTATCTTTTTAAATAATTCAAGGTTATATTTTGATGATAACTGACTAACTCAAATTTCTCTGTCTTTCATTCTGATTTCCAACGAAATCGTTCATCCCTTGGTGCTCCTCGGACCAGATTTTGAAAATTCAGGTATCTTAGATAGTATTTCAAAGATAAAAAATTATAAATCAAAACAATTTTGAGAGGTCCAAAATTGGAATTTTGTAAACTACGGTATTTTGGAATATAGAATCCAAATACGATCCCCCCAAAGTCAAAATTGATCTTTTTAGGACAAAAAAACTGATTTTCAGATTTTCAGAATGGACACTTTTTTGCCAACTTGAAAAGACACAAAGAAAAATGGCATTTGGAGCAGTACAACAAGAAAGTAAAATTTAGAACAAATGTTTCAAACTGTGTACCGGTAAGAAAGCACCAATTAAGCAATCAAGATTCATTTGCCTAAGCAGGAAAGGGTTTTTGAAGCTAACAGCTGATATGCACGGGCGCATTTCATAGAGTAAGCAAGTTTTGGCAAGAATCCTCTAGTGTTACTATGATTTAAATCAATCCTTGTTTGGTGTCATTGGACTCCAAACTTCAATTCTCCTCACGAATGTCTAGATGCACCTACAATCTATATAAAAGCAGTATAACCAGTTGCTATTCGCACATGTCTTAAACTACGATAAATCATCGACGAAAACAACTCTACAAAGCTACTTTCTTGTCAAAACACTACTTCTTTATAAGAAAACCAGAGCAATGCACTGTCTCAACAAGTAGGCTTTGGAAATATAGTTTGCATTACCTTTTCGTCATCTGAAATTATTTCATCGTTGTCTGCCATAATCACTCTAATATTTCACCCTCTGTGTGCAAAATCAAATATATGACAAAACGTAATATACAATTTCTTGAAAGAAGGAAACAGGAAACAAGAACGGCCTGCCTGCCACAAGATGGCTACTTGATCAACGGAATTATGGGTTGGGTTACATTCTGACAGTGAGATAGCTCCACCGCAGTTAGGCCTCGCAGCCAAAACACACCATTTTTACTGTTTGCATATTGCATATCATTCTATGTGAAACAAAAAAAATCACATAGACTAGATGCCTATAAAGTCCTGGCAAAACAACTAAACATTTCATTAAACATTTCATTCAACTTTTGTTTAGTGAAAAGTTTAGTGGAAAGTTTATTCGTTTTTCCACCCTGTTTAGTGTTGTTTAGCCGTGTTGAGGGTTGTTGAGCAAAGTTTGATTCTGGTCAAAAATGTTTACCGTTGTTCAATGTTGTTTAGCAAATGTTTAGTCGTTTTGCCACCAATTAAGCATTTGTTGTGCTAGCGCAGGCGCCGTAGCTGTGGGAATCCAAAAGTTTACAAGGGTTTTTCTCTGTTTTCCAGTCTCTACTACGTGACCCAAAATCTCTAGAATGCCTTAGTGAGACATTTGCTTCATCTCCTTGTACGCTTCTGTGTCTTCTTCAATCTTTAACAGTCAACTTTGTTACCAATGTGCTAAAACGTATTTTCTTACTCTTCGTTTCATCAAATTCGTATTTTTATCCACTTATTGTACTTGAAGTCTTTTATGATAACAAACAGCAAAACAAACAGAAAGCAAATTCCTATACAAGATCCCCTTCAACACTGCGTCCTGCACAGATCTCGGTTCAAAAATCTTGCGTAAAGTTTAAATTGTAAACAAACCAAATGCACGGGACCTTGTGAGTTTTTAGCCTGTGTCAAGCTCGATAAATTGTATTTCTTGGGCGTATTTACCGAACATGGAATCTTCAATTGCTATATATCAGCATTTGTACCCACTATCGAAACGAAAAGTGTATGTTAATTTGGTCTATGCTAAGGAAATGAAGCTTCATTCAATCATGGCAAAGATATTCCGTTTCTCTTGGCGAATATAGATGGAATTAGATACTCTACAACAAAATGATTACTCCAAAATTGTCCTGCAAACTTTAATAAAGTTTTTCGCTCATAATTTACATCAGTAAGGTAGGTTTTTTAGTGTCATTTCGGCAAATTTCCATAAACAGCTCCTTGCGAGTTGCAGTATCCTAGCCGTAAAAGTGGCCTTTGTTTTTTGTATCGCCATCCTTTATCCAAAGAAATATGGCGATAAGACTGAAGAAAGAACCTCTATTATTCATTTTCTCTCATAAAACATCAAACAATGCAAAAGCTTCGCAGTGCGTACGACAAACACGGCTACAAAAAACTGTTTTATTCCAAACTGGCGTCTTGCCACGCGGGATGTCCCTTGTAAACTTCGCTCAACTTCACTAAACAAATGATCATCACAAAATGAAGATCATTTCCAAATCGAACAACCTTTTGGGAATGCAGAAGTGGGTTTGGGCAAACAAAATCAGTGTCTCTGTGGAGAAGCAAATTATCAATACGAGAAGACGAGAGAGCTGTACCCATTTCAAATTCCAACAACTGAAATTGTTCATCACGCGCATGTGACTTGTGGCCCCGTTTCCTTTTGTAGTAACGATAACAGTCTGAAAGTGTTTATTTTGACACAGAATATGCGCTTGAAACTTCTTTAATCACAAGAGAACAGATGAACGATGTCAATAAATTACACTCTTTTTTTATCAGAACTATTTTATAAGAACACGAGCCTCAAAATTGGTCAAAAGTTAAGAACAATTTAAGAACAAGCTAAGGCTGAGCTACTATAAAATGAAATTTTGAACAACGTTTTATTTAAAAAACGAGGATTTTTAGCCATGTGTGGGTGCTTTTTCGGTGAATATTAAAACATGGCGGCAAATGAAGTTTGTCTCTACGCACTTTGTTGGCAGAAGAGGCCTGAACATAACGAAAAGCTAGAAATCGAAAAGCTAGAAATCGAACTGCTTATACCCTATAAATTTAAGAACAAATCAAGAACAATCCAGCCTCAGATTTTCGGAAAAATTAAGAACAATCAGCCTGAACTCAAATTTACTGGTTCTTAAAAAAAAGAGTGTAGTGGATTCGAAAAGGCTATTGGGAAATAAAGACCTGTCAAGTTTCAATTTTGAAAATGAGTGAGTTTTGAGAAAAGCAGGGGGCAATATCTCCCTTGATGCGTGTGAGCGTGAGTTAAGGGCAAAATGCGTGTGTCTCACATAAAATGCGTGAGTCTTGGAAGGTCTGGAAATAAGGTGTTTTGTGAAAGTAGAAGACAACCCTTTGGTGGTAAAAAATTGAAAATGGCTTTGAAAAAAGCAAACATTTGAGTAAACTAGAGCTTTTCGTCTGACACTCTTCAGAGTTTAAAACGTCAGAACATAGGTCAATAACTCTACGCTAGGAAATATATATACTATATATAATATATATAAATATATAAAATAAATAAATATATATATATAACTAGGAAACTAGGAAATATATAAAATAAATATATATAGTTGTGGATCGAAATAGGCCAATCAGAAACGCGAGCACGTGACTGTTGAGGTTGACGAATCAGTGCCGCTTGCGAAATTAGAAGAATGAGAAAACGCAAACACGAAATTTTTTCTCATAACGATTCACACAGTAATTTAGTCACAATTAACTAAAACAGGAATAGTCACATAAAACATAACAGTCCATTAATACATAACGTCGAGACATGTCTTATGCTATCGTTAACTATTATCCCTCCACCTAAGAAAGTACAGCTGCCAACAGAAAGTCCATATTTGTCAATCTTACCAGTTTGTCACTACAATGGGCAGCTTCGTTGCCCCAGCTATGCTTAAATATTCATGGTCAGAGTCAGGAAAACATCACGGCCCCACGGCCACTGGCCGGTGGAAGGTTGTTTAAACAAAAAGAAATCGAGGAAGATGGTCAAAAATTTGGAAACTGGAGGAGGTTGAAGAAATCGAATTGTCTTTTGTTTTTCAAAATATAGTCAGACGAAAAATCAAAATAATCAAGTAATATTTATAAATTAGATGTTTTTTAACATGAATGTGTTTGCAAAACTGCTTTGCACTGTAAAATACAAGCATGACCTTTTTATGATTTGTTTATATTTAAATGAGAATACACTATTTTTATTAATTGACATTAACTTTACATCTTTCTCAAAATCTATAACTGAAAATATGCTACAAAAATTTTAAAATGTTTTGAAAAAAACAGAGTTGCAAGGGGAGGGTGTCAAGACTGGTTGAGCACACAAATTTTTTAACCAAGCCTATTCTGAACCCATTAAATATGAGTAAGGTTGATTTTCTTAGTAAGCATTTGTTGGCCGGAGGCAGGCTGACAAATTTTCTGGACTCTGTTCATGGCAAGCAGAAAATAAAACATCTTGAACTAAGTAGGAAAAAAAGTGTTCTTGAAAAGATTCAATAAATTAAGTTTATCTGACTAAAGCTTACCACTTAATTATTTGCAATTATTTATTCAATATACCATAAAAATTGCCAAAAAGTACATTGAACCGAAAGCTAAAGACAATGGACATGTTTTCTGACAACTTATCAAATTTCATAGTGAAAAGTGACTTTGCAAATTCTTAATGTAGATGGGTAGTTAAATATCGAAAAATATTCTTTCTTTGACGTAGTGCTATAATAAACCTAGATCAAGTTTGCTCGGGAAAAGAAACACCAATAAAGACACAATCTATTTTGCTTGAAATTCGTTTTTCGCGAGATAGTTAATAGACATCCTTTCGATTCTATAAGGATATTGCAGCAACAATTTTTGTGTTTAAAACATCTAAGCTCAACTTCTCTCTAATTTTCAATGTTCTTCTCTATTTATAATTCATCGTGGTCATCCTCATTGTCAACATCATCATCTTCAATATCTGGATGGGGGAAGAGATTAGAACAAATGAAACACGGTTACAAACGAAACTCAGTTATAGGACTTTGTCTTCTTACAAGGATTTTCAAGGATTTTCCCATAAAACAGTCACACCATATTCCACACCAATACACAAAAAACGCGATCACTTGTATATTTATAAATAAACTGAAAAGAAATTTAATACGCAACATCTTAAGAAAGTTTACTTTATTCAAGCTGCAGAAATAATTCAAAGTACCAAAATGGTCTAAAGCTACGAGCGCTTTAAACACATTTTTCACTCAACAACCATCTTCCATCAAAATTAAGGTTTTCCTTTGCTCTTTTTCAGCCTGAAACTTTCAATATTTTGATATGACGATTCCTTATTCTAACATTGCAATACGCTATTTTTTGTCAGGCAAAACTATTTTCTTTAAGATTCCATTTAATCTAAGTTTATACTGTGTAAACTTGCAATGTACAGTACGGTTACTGATTAATCATATCATACGATTCAAAAATTTAATGTTCTTCCTTTTAACGTAAATCTTTACAATATACATGAGCTTCACATTTGAGATATGAATACGCAATTCTATCACGAGCTTGTTATAACGCTAATTAAAAGAACAACTTGAACACTCTATAGTGGGTAAAATAACACTTGCTGTGCTTTGATACTCGGTTGGAAGTTCTTGGGTTGAGCAATCCATGTGTCATCAAGAGCCATTTGCAGCACACTTTACACTACATTTCCCCAAAGGCGTTTGCATTAGAAAGCGCCCTGTGAAACGTCGCTATGGCTATCGCAAAAACTACAACTGTTATTGCAATGCCAAACCAATTATCTCTCCGAAAGAAAAAATAAACTGCGCCGAAAAAGAAAATAAACATTAATGTACCAATTTTAAGATGAAATTCTGTTATTAATTGACCTTCCTTCATCAGACTTTCAATTGGATCCATTTCCCTCTTAGGGTGCTTTTTAGTATTTTTCTTTCGCTTTTTAACAATTTTATTACCTTCATCTTTCACACATTTCCCTTCTTTCTTTTTGTATCCAGTTTTGCATGAGCACTTGTAACTGCCATCTGTGTTTTCGCACTGCTCAGTTTGCTTGTTACAAGCATTCTTCGTCAAACATTCATCCACATCTACAAAACATAGTTTAAATTGCTCATGACGATTTTTTACACATCAACAGTTTCCTAAGTAAATTTAAGCTCACAAGAAATCTTAATGACACGCATTGTTGCATAAACCGAATAAAGATGCAAGAAATGTATTTACTTTTATAGAAATACTAAACTTCTATGATTGTGTGGAATAAGATAAATGGTTGAGTTAGAAAATCGTCATAAAAACAACAATGTTCTCATAATATACCAAAATGTTATTGATTCTATTTAATATAATACTACATTGTTCATAGCAAGGATCCATATTTCATCGGTCAGTAACGAATTTTTCCTGCCAAGATAGGCATCTTTTTGTCGATGGTAGGGAGGTAACCAGACATGACAGAGAGACAGACTTTAATTATGCACATTTGTCACTTCTCCTAGAACAATAGTCTTTTTAAAGGAGCGAGTAACAGCAATGATTTTTAATCATGCGCGCGCTAAGTAATCGTTAAGAAGTTGAACTAGAAGGCTCGAACTGACCTTTGCAACTGCCTTCCACCATTTCAAATCCATTCCTACATTTAACGCAGCTACTTTCACCAGGACCAATGCATTTTTGACATGACTTGTCGCAGGCTGTTAAAAAATTGATTTAAATACAAATAGAATACTTTTAAAATATGTTTAAAACTGTGACTTGGCAAATAAAATAGGATTAGGGTGAAAGCAGCTTACTGACTTATTAAGACAAGCTGGACTTACACTCGCATTCAAATCCTCCTTCAGTGTTTTTGCAGTATTGGCTGTCATCTGTACACAAAGATTGACCATCTTTTCCAGCACACTCGTCGATGTCTTAAAAATAAATTTGAAAGTGAAGTTGTGGCTAACCTAAGTGGCTGAGCAAACAAATGAAAACAGCGTTGTTTAGCAAGAGAAGCCTGTGAGATAAAAAACTGGAACATTTCATTTTATCAGAGGATTTCATGAGATTATATGCATCCTTGTGCATCGCCTGACTGCATTGTCTGCGCTGGCTTATATTACAATCAACGTTGATTACTATGGCTAAATTAATGCTTTAATACTTAAAGTAAAAAAGATAATTTGGAACCTTTGCATCCACCATCAACCATCTCATATCCATTTCTACAAGCATTACAGGCCGTGTTCCCACGTCCAGTGCATTCAAACTCACAAGAATCATGGCATGCTTCAAAGAAAAAGATACTTTTAAAAGATAAAAGCAGTTGGAAATCAATCAGATGTAAATGCAGAGGTTTATCAAGTTAAGAAAAACATCAATAAAACAATAGCCAGATGTAAACATAAAAAACCGATGGAACTGAAGAGCATCTTTTTTCACTAAATTCAAAGGAAAAGGTTTTGAAGACCGAACAAGTTTTGTTTATCATTTGGGTAATATGATGGAATGATGGCATTTATATGATGGAATGATGATCAACGGGCTAGGGTGGCCACCAGGGGAAAAAATGTGCCTGAATGACTGCATTTCGCCAATCAGTGAGCCATTTTGGGTACTAGAGTAAGTATCAGGGGAAATTATCTGCCTGAATGGCTGCATTTAAACAATCAGTGAGCCATATTGGTATTAAAGTAAGTACCATAGGAAAATATGTGCCTGAATGGCTGCATTTCACCAATCAGTGAGCCATTCTTGATATTAAAGTAAGTACCAGAGGAAAATATGTGCCTGAATGGCTGCATTTCACCAATCAGTGAGCAATTCTGGGTATTAAAGTAAGTACCAGAGGAAAATATGTGCCTGAATGGCTGCATTTCACCAATCAGTGAGCAATTCTGGGTATTAAAGTAAGTACCAGAGGAAAATATGTGCCTGAATGGCTGCATTTCACCAATCAGTGAGCCATTCTGGGTATCAAAGTAAGTACCAGAGGAAAATATGTGCCTGAATGGCTGCATTTCACCAATCAGTGAGCCATTCTGGGTATCAAAGTAAGTACCAGAGGAAAATATGTGCCTGAATGGCTGCATTTCACCAATCAGTGAGCCATTCTTGATATTAAAGTAAGTACCAGAGGAAAATATGTGCCTGAATGGCTGCATTTCACCAATCAGTGAGCAATTCTGGGTATTAAAGTAAGTACCAGAGGAAAATATGTGCCTGAATGGCTGCATTTCACCAATCAGTGAGCAATTCTGGGTATTAAAGTAAGTACCAGAGGAAAATATGTGCCTGAATGGCTGCATTTCACCAATCAGTGAGCCATTCTTGATATTAAAGTAAGTACCAGAGGAAAATATGTGCCTGAATGGCTACATTTCACCAATCAGTGAGCAATTCTGGGTATTAAAGTAAGTACCAGAGGAAAATATGTGCCTGAATGGCTGCATTTCACCAATCAGTGAGCCATTCTTGATATTAAAGTAAGTACCAGAGGAAAATATGTGCCTGAATGGCTACATTTCACCAATCAGTGAGCAATTCTGGGTATTAAAGTAAGTACCAGAGGAAAATATGTGCCTGAATGGCTGCATTTCACCAATCAGCGAGCCATTCTGGTATTAAAGTAAGTGCCGGAGGAAAATAGCGGCCTGAATAGCCGCATTTCACCAATCAGTAAACCATTCTGGGTATTAAAATGGATTTAATTAGCTAAACGCTATTTTCTCTGCCAACTCTAAATAAATTGTTTATTTATATTATTATTATTAAAGAAAGTACCAGGGAAAATATGCGCCTGAATATTCGCCATTTTAGGTATCAAAGTAAGTACTGCAATTATGCTCACATCCAAACCTACTTTTGGAATTTTAATTCTTGAGAATAAATATCTGTCGTTTTCTATTTGATTATATAGTTAAAAATGTTGGTGTTGAAAACATAAGATTTTACGAAGCCTGTCTATAGTAACTGCACATTTCAACAAAGAAACCTGTTGTTTTTGGAATTGGTAGTGCTCTTGCCTACATCATAATGATCCTAAATGCCGGTTATTCCTTCTCTTTTAGTGACCTTGAGGTTTTCTTGCACAGCAAAGCTTTTCAAATAGTGAAAACTCACGTTCACAATTGTATGATCCAATAGCATTCTGGCAGTAGGTCCCAGCAGTACAAAGATTTTCTGTTGAGCACTCATCAATATCTAAACATTTAGCAAAATACCAAAAAAAATTAAAAGCTATATATTTAATTAAAACTGAATTTGCATAAAAATGAACACCCATAAAAGTCCTTTGTATCTGAGCCTCCATAGAGCTTTCACACAGCAATGAAGATATTCACATGAAAAAATGTGCTGTATATAAAATAAGATAAACAAAACATATCGACGAATTAATTTAAATCAACATTTCTCTTCCTTCGAAACAAAAACATTTAACTTCGGTTTATATCTCACTTAATGATTCTCTCAAAGCACCTTTCAGATCAAAGAAAAAATGCTGACCAAAACAAAGTTCTTATACACCACCTTCACATCCACCGGTTCCGTTCTTTAAGTATCCTTGGTTACATTCCACACAATTCGCTGAGCCTGGGCCTTTACAGCTCTCTTTACAAGCACCATCACAAGCTGCAAAGAAAACAGCAGAAATTTTATAAAAAGAGAAGTTCAAACTGGTCATACATGGACTCTACAGCATCTTACTCTATAGTGATCAAACTTCAGTTTTTGGAAATGACGATTTGATTCCGTTTTTAAAGCTAAAAACCTGACTGTGCAGTCATTGACTAAGTTGATTTCCCTGCGATTTTCACACAGCATACCTTTACTGCAAAGCTCTAGAACATCCGACGATACAATACCTTTACTTTACTAATTTGCCTGCACTCTGTATTCGTATTTATCACTTAAAGTGTTGTATTTAACACCGAGCCAGAGAAGGAATTTTTTAGCCATATAAATTCTAACGACCAAGTTAATGCAAATACCTTCACATTCATACGATCCAACACTGTTAACACAGAATTCGCTAGTTGAACACGGAGACTTCTCGCATTCATCCTCATCTATGATAAGAAAATACATCTGTTGAATGTCAGGTACAACCAACAAATTCTTAAAGTCTTCAAAATATTAAAAGAGCGATAGGTGGAGCTTCACGAAAAATGTCCTTGTCTGACTCTCATTTAATTTTCACAAGCGAAAGTCTGCTACTCCATTCGAGTTGCTGTGCTCTAATGGCTCAAGCTATTTGTCTCTACCTGTATCAAGTTTTTACCAGGATAATACCTTTGCAGCCTTCCTCTGGGTCTTTCAGCCACCCGTCTTTGCAATCATCACACCCACTTGTACCTGCCTCTGTGCAAGTACTTTTGCAGGCTTCGTGGCATGCTAAAATACAAAGTTTTGCAACTTTCAAACAAGGTTTTTCAATGATCACCCGATTCAGAATTCAGAAAGCAGACATAAATACTACAGGTTTGTATAAAAACGAAGAAATCGATAGACGTTTGGAACTACTAACTTTTGCACGTAGTGTTCCCAGCATCGTAATAACCATCTTGACATTCAGAACAGGTATCCCCCTCGTAGCCATTGTCACAACTACACTTGCCATTGCCTCCTCTTGTTCCAGCACCCTTCATGAAGATAAAACGTCAGAATAACAAAAAAAAATTTACGGATCTTACGATCTACTTAGTGAATGAATCACTCTTCTGATAAATTTGTGGCTTGAAAGAGAAGGTACCAACATGGTTTGAAAAAAACGAATTGAAGTCATATCGTTCTTTCAGTTCACAATAACTTTTAATATTTTGTGTAATACATAGCCTATTTATTGAGTGCAGCCTGTGCTAATAAGCAAATTCTTACCAGGAAAATGTTGATACAGCCGAAACTTTATCAAATAAAAGCAGATTTCGTACTGTAGTCTAGCTCATTTAACAGATCAAGAAATGGTGCAACATATTAAAGCAACTATATATTCAATAAAACAAACAAGTATGAAATTATAAAAACACAGTAAATTATGAAAACAAACAGGCCTTGCCCGGAAAGGCGCTCGATCGAGCGCGCGCGCCTAGAGCGCACCCAAAAGAAGCCTTGGAGAGCGATTTATAGAGCCCCTCAAAACGTAAAAACAATATTACCACGGAGCAAAATAATTTCTTGGCCTTTGTCTAATAAACTTGATCAAGCATAAACAATCTTCCCAATAGACCGCAATATTATGATTTGCGGCAGATTACCCCTTGGGAAAAAAATTCAGCAAATTCAACGTTAGGTTTTCGATACCATTTTTAATCTAATAACCCTCTAATAACCACCAAAGACACAGGTCATCAAGCGTATTCTCCGGCAGATGTATTTGATTTTCGAGCAAGCGTTAATCTTCTGTTGAAGTATTATTTTCTGTTTTTTCTTAATAATTTAGAATCACTTTTGCAAATCAGAGATCACATTTCCGTTCAAATTACCGCATTGCTTTTCAGTTTTCATTTGCTTTCGCGAGTAGTAGATGTTCTAGTGTGTCTTATAGAATGGATAGCATAAAAAGGGAAACAAAGTTAATATTCGACTTAAAGCCATGCGTTTTCCTAAATTTCTATATTTGTATTAACATAGTGTTTGCTGCATGTTTTGTTATTTAGTATTATGGTGCTTTTTGGCATCAGCATTGAATTTCTTTTTTAACACTCGTCCAAAGCTTTCAATATGAATCTCTCCATCTTCCAAAGCTCTTGAAGGATGCTCTCAAGGATATTATATTTAAAGGTGCGAAATAGAGCGCCTAGAGTTTATAAGGGGCTCTTTTTATGAAGCACCTTCATTTTGCTTAGAGCAAGGCCTGAACAAAGATGCTTTAGAGCAACACATCACGATAATAACTTAGGTCAGGTTTATTTTCTAAATTAGGGATAAAGGGACAAAGCATGGTCAGCATGTAATTCTTTTAGAAAGCTGATTGATTGGTGAAAACATGAAGAGAGAAACATCATATCTATAGAAGGAGAAAGAACACTCAACGTTTGTCTAAACCAAATAAGCTCTTACCTGACAGCTTCCATGACCGCTACATGGAGTCACTTTGCCACCAGGACATTCTAAATGAAAATATGACAATTTGTATCAAACTGATGTCTTAACCACAAATTAACAACTGCAAAGTTGACTTGATTTATATCAAGAACGCAGAAAGGTTTTTTCAAAAATTCATGCACAAGTTGTAATCATCATAAGTCCCACTTGGTAGGGTAAAAATATATATTTAAAGTTTATTCATGTCATTTAAGAACAATATAGAAAAAGCCCTAAACTATTTAAGACTATTAAAATACCTTTTGGAAATATCAGTTTATCACCAGCTTCCCAGGCAGATGCAGAAACTTTTTTATAATCAAAATCAATAGCAATTAACTTGATGTGCAGTTCATATATAAACACGAACCCTCTGGATGCCCTTATCAACCAACCAATGAAGGGTCTAGACTTAAAGGTTGACATTGTACTAAATTGAAAAATTGCCAGTTAAAAATGGATTTGGCAATACACTGAATAATACCTTTACATGAAGAGCCGTATGTATTCTCAGGACAACAAACTAGAGAGGAAAAAAATTCATTTATTCAATGTACCTATAAAATGATACACATAGCATAAAAAAAGGATTCCTAAGAAGTGAAAGTAAATGATATAGCAGAACATAAAATAACTGTTTTATTGTACCTTTAATTTTATCAGTGCATAAATACTCCTTCAAACTAGGTTGTTCTTCTGTCCTGAAAAAATCATACTCCCATATGTTCACTGAAATATTTACATACAGATTATAGATCTTTGTTAAATATAAGATTGCATTTCAAGATTGGATGAAGTTAATGCAATATAGAAATGTGGAAGCCAGGTCAAAAATATTTCTTCAAATAAGCCTTTTGGTACCACAAAAATTATCATATCGCAGAAAGCAGAAACATAGCATATTTAAGTATTTTTGCCAGAGGAGCGCCAGACAAAAAGTATTTGATTCTACTTTGATTCTGCTGTTCTGTGCCACCTTTGTTCTCTATGACATTTTCGACAGACATGAGGTACGCAAGCCAAGTGAAACAACCCCCTCCCGCCATGATTGAGATTCAATTGATAAAATGGTGTCAGCATACCAGCTTGGAATGTTTTTGAAACATAATGGAGGTATTCCAAGTTAGCCTAGTTTATTTAGCATCTTCACTTGCAATTGTTTTTGTCACTCTTTTGTCACTATTACAACTGAAATGCTTTCGATTATACAAAAACATACTTTTTATACCACCAAGAGTATATATCACTTTCATATTCTTCAATCATTGCATGGCAAATTGACTATAACAGAAAACAGTGGATTTTGAGAATTTGAAAGATAGATGAGTTAGTTTATGCAAAAATATTTCAAGTAATCATTTTACCCAATAAATCAGATTCATAAGGAAACAGCAGAGAACTTTCTAAACATTTACATAATGATAAATAAGGAGCTTCAATCATATTTTTAAAACCAAATAATTCAACCGGTTTCAGGATGAATTAACAGAGTATCACTTGAAGATTAAGTGAGGTAGCTAGCTTGAAAAAAACTTGAAGAAATAAAATGACAATCATTAAGTTTCAAAGACATTTTTCAGTCATTCAAGCATCATCAAATTCAGCAACAATGAACCAGTAACAGATCCGTAAATAGTTAAGCAAAAATACCTCTTTTGACACTTTAATACAAACTTCATCTAATATTTCAAGCAGCCTTGATTCACTAAAGAAGTGATGAAATTATTTTACAGAATATAAAAACAAAAGCGTTTTCTGAAGAAGAAATCTTAATTAATACACTAATTCTTTTTTATATGACATTGGCTGTTGCAAGAAAGTGGGCAACAGGGTAAAAGGGCCAAGAAAAAGGACAAAAGAATAGTAAAACCAAGATAATTGCTCAATTTGGGAAGGAAAGGGGGTCACTGTCCCCTTTCCCCCCTGGCACAGGCACCATTGGCTGTTGTAACTGAATGGAAAAAACCAGTTAACATGTTTACAACAGTCTTCTGAACACTTGAAGGTTTAGTGATGCAGAACAATGTGCAATACACTGTTAATGTGACATTAACTAACATCAATATTTTTATTAACATTGTTATGAATATTAAAGACAAAATATTTTTTAAAAGGATTCCTGCCTATGGCAAATATGTCAAAAGGTGAACTATCTGATGTTTTCCTGATGTTTCCTGATAATAATTACATTATGTTTTCTGAATTTATTTTGCCAAAACTATTTGCAAAACAACATATTCAAATGAAGAAAAATTACGAAATAGTGGTTAAAATTTCCTGTCATAAAATTTCAGAAAATTTTGATTTTTCTACCTCTTTGCATATGTACCAAGTCTAGATTCTTCCCAGTCTGTGTTTCCTCCACCAAAACCATGCTTTTCCGTCTTGGTCATTTTCTGCAAATACCACGTATTTTAATTTATACTTGGCAATAATGAAGAGAGCTGTTAAAGTTCACGAAGCAACCCTCCTAGTGATGTAAAAAATGTACTTTCTTTATTTCACAAGCTTTTAAAGGAATACCCCGATTTGGTAACACTTCATATCAACAATGAAAAGTTTTGACAAAGAAAAAATCTGTTAACTCAATGTTCCAAGCCATCAAAGTATACATGAACATGATAGAAAGGCTTCTTTTATTTACACAAGCATCGAGAGTGAAAGAATGGGTGTTGCATTTAGCAGCCGGAGAAGACCTCCTTAAAGATTTTTTCAGCATAGATAGAAGATTGATGCCTGTTTATATCGCGCATATGAGGGACCTGGAAAGTGATGAATGCTATGAGAAATGGCCAATTCACCGTTCAAAAAAGGAGGATTCCTTTCACTAGTATAGGAGTAGACCATGCCAGTGAACAGATCCATAATTTGACGAAAGTTGATGGTGGTCTGACTGGCATTTCATACAATGAAAATGCTGGAGCACGGGGATGTTGATTGCCCCAGTTGTGTTAAAACTATAGACGACATGGCAGGATGCCCTAATCTGTTCTGATCAGGGACAGAATCTGTTCCAATCGTTGGAAGGGTAGAAAGCATTGTAATTATTGATGCAATAATGATTGTGCAGAAAATTGCTCCTAAGCCACCATGGGTTAAGACAGTTGAAGATAATATATTCTTGGAAAAAGTTGATTTTCTCTCTAGAAAAGCATCAGAGATTCACCTTGTATTTGATACTTATAAAGATGGTTCGTTGAAGCAAAATACCTTCAAGAAAGGCAAATGGGACCAAAAAGCCATTAATTTCAGAAATTAGGACAAAACCAACAATCAGAGGATCTCAATGACCAAATTTTTGTCAAGTGAGCGAACGAAACAGAGCTTGATGGAGTATCTTGCCAAAAAAAGCGATAGATCATTTCAAGAGTAAGCCAAGCCTGAAGTTTCTTGTCAGAGCAAAAGGAAAGACAATAGGTAACATTGGCTGCTGCAGGTCAAATAATCTTGAAGAGGCTGACAAACTATTAGTGTGGCACACAATCTTTGCCAGTTCTTTACATAAACAAGATCATGAAATGTAAATACATTCTTCGGATACAGATGCGCTAGTCATTCTAGTCTCATTTGCTGACCGGCTACTCAAAAGAACAACGTTTTCTATGAGCCCCCAAAGGAACATCTCAGTATAAGATGTATTCTTTGCCCTTAGAAAAAGAAGTCAAAAGCATTAATCGCTTTTCATGCCCTAACTGGATGTGACACAACTGGAAAGTTTTACAGAAAGGATAAAGGGTATTCGGTTTAAAGTCTTCATGAAGCTTCAAGATGATCAGTATCAGCTATCTGTTCACTTCAGAACAGACCGTTAGAAGCAGTCGCCTGGTATTCTTCAGACCTTGCAATGCAACCAGTTTTAGATCCATGTGACTTTAGATGGAAATCTAAGAATGATGTTTTCGAACCGATAGGATTTGTAAACAACATTGCTCCCACCTCCTTAGTACAACTCACAAGCTGCAAATGCAAGAAAAATTGTACTACAAATTGATTTAGCTGTAAACAGCAAAATATGTCATTCACTGACATGTGCATGTGTGAGGGGAGCAAAAATATTGACAGCTTCCAGACTGATCACTTAAATAGCTCAGACGACGAGGACTAATGTGAATTTTTATGGAATTTACATGCATCTAACCATTTTACGAATCATTGTAGCCTTCTAGAATATAGCTGATGTCCCAAAAAAATAAAGGAGATGTCAAATAAAATTAATTGAATCTTGAAGTTTAAGTTCTGAGAGAAGATGAAATGTACAGATGTTGAAGGTACTCGAAAATAGCATTCTATGACGTAATTTTATCTTCTGCTTCTGAAATTTATACCTAATTTCCTATCTTAAGGTCAAAAATGGTTTTACCCTTTCTCTGGTGGTGTTTGATTGATTTAAGCTTGAAAAAATGTTTGAATCTGTGAATAAGTCATATCAACAAATGTGGAATTTTGATGTCACAGCATGTAATCAGAAAGATGACGTCACCCAGAAATGCTAATGAATATTTCTTGGAAACATTTACTTTTGGATTCTATATAAAATTTTGAGTAGATAGGTGCAAAAAGATTGGTTTAACACGAGCCATTAGCAGGATAACAATTAAATTTTGACTATTTTCTGGCGTTCTCGAGAGCTTGGCCTCAAAATTTGTGGACACACCCTGCAATAAATAGGACTTGCATAACCTCCTTCTCAGCTATCAATCCCTGCATTCAGTCCTCAGCAGAATGCCATAGCATCATACAAAAATCTAGTCTTAATCTGTGTTTACCTGTCAATTTATATTTATTGAGTCAGGTAGTGCTCCATTGAAACAGAGAAGTTAAAAATTGTTTTCTCATGTTGAACTTCTCTCTGCATGAATAACTGCATGAATAGCTATTCATTCTAATCAAAAGCATTTCCTGTGTCTACTGGATCCTTACCTGTTTCTAGAAGAGCCAAAAAGTTTCTACTTGGTAGTCGATTCATCACCTTAGACTACAGGTCTGGCTGAAAAAATATTAGTAAATACTGTGCCTAGTTTATCATTCTGTGGTGCATATTTTGATTTCCTAGTTGCAAGATTCAATTGGGATCAGAATTAGCTGCAAGTATCACATTTGGTATTTGTCTTTATGCAGCTAGTGACAAAAATTTGAAGAGGTCTACTCCATGGTAATGCAACTAATAGCTGCAACCTCTTCAAATTCAGCAAATTTCGTATGTATCAATTTTCATGGGTCGCAAATTCAAACACAGCCACTGCCCATTGCGCCAACCCATCATACATTTTCACAAACATTTACAGCATAATGGAAATAGCCAGCAAAACAGAAACACTCTGAAACAATTTTTAGCCTCTATACAAAATGAATCTGTAGTCTGTAGTACAAGCACCAGTCAGCATGTGCATCTGGCCAAAAACAATAAGGCGTCATAAGCTACTATCTTGATAAAAAAAATTAATGAGACTATAATTCGTATCTTACGGTAAGACACTTTGTCAAAATAATCTTATTTAGGGAAGACTATTACCTAAATAACATTATTATGACAATGCCTAATATTATGGTTGAATTGTTGAATACTACGGCTTGAATTACGAAGAAAAATGAAATCAGAAATAATAAATAAAATGATGATACTGATATGACAAGAACTATTTGGGTTGTTAAAATATCAAGATGAAACTATGATGACGAAAACTATTTGGGTTGTTAAAATATCAAGATGAAACCTCAACCGTCCATAATTAAATTAAAAATTGCAATTTAGAACAAACCTCTAAAAAATTATCTGTCATATCTTTGCAAACTGTGCATTTCGTCGAAATGTCACTTCGTGATACAGTGATATATGTTTCTAACCATATTGAAGTCAAAAGGAGAATATTTCCAGCATTCATCATCGATGTTTAATTTAAAAGGAAAACCAAATGATCGTATCTAAATTAGTGGTCTTGAAGAAAACAAATCGATAGTAGGAGGCTAAAGTAAATGAAATGACTATGGCAGCAGGAAAATGCTTCCTTAGCACCTCTGTTCTTGATTCATCCACGATTCACTGATAAGCGCCATTTTGAATCCAGAGAGCATTTTAATTGAAAACGAGATTTGTCGATATCCCCTTTTTAACTGGAAATACTTTCTATATGTGTAAATCCAACAAAACTCAAGAATACCTATAGTTTTTTCATTTGAGCAGATGGAGTAAATACTGAGTTTGTATTTTCCTTATATATCAACTTTAAGGTGAAAAATTTATAATTTATAAAGCGTCTATTTCAAATACCACCAATCGTCTTTTGTCGAGTGTGGACCGCGGATGTTTAAGCCAATCAAAGGCGTGCAAGTAGATCGAGGAATGCTCCAATTCTTCCATTGAACTAAATTCCACCAATCAGCGGATAACATGTCTTATTTTGAAAAACATTGACCAATCATTCGAATCCACGAGATGAAGTCGCAGGGTTCCCCGAAATGTGATTTCTTTCTTTTAAAAGATAGGCCTCTTTGTCACTTGACGATTACAGGGTAGGATACACAGCACTAGAGGACGCAGAAAAATGGGTCGATTCAAGTGGACAGTTATAGTAGGCCTTTTGTTAACACTCAGTTTCATAAGTAAGTTCTCTTGCCATTTTTACTTTTAATGTTTAAACAGTTTTAATTTAAAAACCTTGTGCACGTGAACAGCAAGGGCATATGATGCATGGGACTTGGTCTTGTTAGGCCATATGTTCAGTTTCCTACTTTACAAGCACATAGGACTGGTTCGTTCATACAAACAGACTAGCATTCAATTATCCTATTGGTTTTCAAAAAATATGATTATAGTAATAACTTAACTGGTTATTTGTCTAAAGCCGGCTGTTTTTTCACGGAAGCTTTCTGTTTCATTGAAAGCAAATCTAAATCGTTGCCTACATTTAGTTAGCAGCTTAATCTTTCATTCCTGATTTCAGGTAAAGTAGATAATGTACCTAAAAAGCGTCGAATTATCTTGATGTAGAAGTCTTGCTGAATTTCTAGATCAGATTTCTTGTGAAGAAGAAAGTAGAGAGACGCCAGAAGAAAACAAAGAAGATCTTCCTAAAGTTGAGGAAGATGCAGGAAAAAGCAGAGATGGATCAAAAACAGACGATGAAGTTGTTGAACGTGAAGAGGAGGCAATCAAGTTAGATGGACTTAGTGTTGCTCAAATGAAAGAACTGAGGGAAAAATCTGAAAAGCATGAATTTCAAGCAGAAGTCAATAGGATGATGAAACTTATCATCAACTCTTTATACAAAAACAAAGAAGTAAGTTTCTTTTGGAGAGGTCAGCAATCAAACCCTTAGGTTTAACTTTCATTTTGGTAGGGTATCATAAAAATACCATATTCTTCTATACATACAAAACAATATATATTAAGGCTATTCTATAGCAGTTCTTGTTCTATTTGAAAAATATGTCACTGGAAAATTTTTAAATTGAAACAAACTGAGGTCTTTGCTGGGATGTAGATGTGTAAAGCAGCCAATATTATAAAATATTGTAAAATGTCAACTTAAGCTGTTGGCCAAATCTCAAAGCATCTTGAATCAAGGGGTTTTCATCATATATGGCAAACCTAACTTTTTGCCAAGTCTCGATGTTTTATTATCTTAAATTATAATCTTTTATTATTCTTAAATTATTCCTTAGCAAAACAAGATGCAAGTTTGTTTGAACATCAGAGAAAAAATTCAAATCTTTTTTATGTATTACCTCATCTAAAAAACAAGATAAGAGCAGAAAATTCTCAGTGCTATCAACAGACAAAAAAGACTCCTCAAAAAGCAACTGTACCTTCCTCAGATAAATAAGTTATTTGCCTTTAAAAAAAATTGATTAATTTTGTTATTCTTGTTTTTGTAGATATTCTTGAGGGAACTTATTTCAAATTCTTCAGATGCTTTAGACAAGATAAGATTGTTGTCCCTCACAGACAAAGCAGCCCTTGGAGCTACGGAAGAACTCTCCATTAGAATTAAAGCAGACAAAGATAATAACGTGCTGCATATAACAGATACTGGAATTGGTATGTCAAAAGATGATCTGATTAATCAACTTGGAACTATTGCTAAATCTGGTACAAGTGAATTTTTGCAAAAAATGCAGGTAGGTCCATTTATCGAAGTACTTTTCATGATAAGTGTCATTCTTTTGCAGGTACCTTTTGCAGGTACAAACATCTTTATTTGCTCAAAGCATTATATCTTATCTTTGTTTTTGCATGTATCTTTAAAAATTACTTACAAAGTATTAGAATGATACATGAAATATACCTACAGTTTTTATGTTGCAACTATGAGTTTAATGCTTTATCCAATCATCTGGCAACTGTTAAACTACTTTGTTATTCTATTTGGCTGTTATATCACTAGTGGTATCTGTAGGGTCAATTGCTTGTAGTTGTTAATTAGCAATTATGTTTTTAATTAATTACTGGCAGGTAGACAGTGGAAACTTATTTCCATGTCAGCAGTTGGAAATAAGTTTGAACCTTTTTTAGGTCTACATTGTGTCAAATTAACAATGGTAAGTTTTCTTTGTCTGATGATTAATGTATTGGTCTTTTGATTGCCACACGAAAGTAAGATGTTGTGCACATCCACTAACTTGAAACTTTTTGTTAAAAAAGGATGCTGCTACAGAGGGTGCTCAAGCTTCAGATTTGATTGGCCAATTTGGTGTAGGTTTCTACTCTGCTTTCTTGGTTGCTGATAGAGTTGTTGTTACATCAAAGAAGAATGGTTCCAATCAATACATTTGGGAATCAGATGCTTCATCTTTCTCTGTCATTGAAGATCCACGTGGTGACACTTTGAAAAGAGGGACACAAATCACGTAAGTTCTTTTTTGTTCTCAAATCTTCCATTAAAAGTTTAGACAATGTGCTTAAAGGTAAAGGAAAATATTGTTTCAAATTTTTTAAAGACACACAACAGTTATAAAGCAGAGCTGTTTAAAAAAGCTCATTGTTGAAACTTTCTGAGAACATTACTCCTGTTAAGGTAAGAGTTGCCAAATAATGCTGTTGGTCATGTGACTCTATTTGGTTGCGGATTTTATCAAAATGGCACAAGAAACGTTTTATAGCTGTTTAACACTGTATGTATTCATTTTTAAGATCAAGGACAATTTTTCTGCAGGTTGCACCTCAAGGAAGAAGCCAGAGACTTTTTGGAACAAAACACTGTTAAGGATTTGATTAGAAAATATTCACAATTTATCAACTTCAATATATTTTTGTGGACAAGCAAAACAGAAGAAGTAGAAGAGCCAATTCCAGAAGATGAGGCTGACAAGAAGGATGATGCAGCTGATGACAAAAAGGATGATGAGAAGAAGGATGAGGGAAAGAAAGATGACGAAGATGATGCCAAGGTAGAAGAAGACAAAGAGGAAAAAGAAAAGAAGCCTAAGACAAAGAAGGTTTGTGATTTTCCTATCATTGAATCATCATAGTCTGGAATTTAAAGCTTCTTTATATACCTGAAATTCATATGAATTCAAGACAAACTTCAGTTAATCTACTTAAGGACTGAGATCAAATCAATGGGTAATGGCAGCAAAAAATTATACCATGCCTAGTTAAAAGATTGCTTTTCTGCCATGTGAATAAAGAAATAGTTAAAAAACTTCATTTTCAATCAAATGCTAAAAAGTGCCAAATGGGTGTTTGCCAAACTTGTTGTATACATACACTTTTTTACACCAATGTTGAAAACATTTTGGGACACCTTTGATAAATAAAAAGTGTGATGGCCGATCCTACTTTTTTAACCTACTATGCTGTATCAAGCCATGAAACAACCAATCCACATTTGTATCTCTGGGCATTGATATTGAAATCAAGATGGCGGCTCAAGGTCACAGTTCTGTCGAAGAAACCTGTGGCCAGGTATCTCAAAGTAACACAAAGTCTTTTGCTAAGACCAATGAATTCCCTTTGCAAGTAAAAATTCAATTAGGTGTAGAGTCGTCCTGAAGTATCTAAAGAAGAACTTTTGGTTGTATGAAGGCATATCTTGCACAAGAAGATAAAACTTTCCTTTAGATTTTTGATCTGTTAACTGTTTTCTTACCCAGAACCTTCTCTTTTTGGTAAAACTCTTCTCTAACAATAAAAGTATAATAGTTCTTCTGCTAAATACAGCTGCCATCTTTCATTCAGTTCAGTGTCTAAAATTTTGTGATGGAAATTGCTCCAAAATTCATATGTATCTGTAAACGCGTATTTTGATACGATATGCATAAAAGGTTTTTCTATTGGAGATTCGGCTTAAGGGTGCCCTTAAAAATATCTTAAAAAGTGTAAAAGGTTTTTTCAAGGGCTGTCAGTGCTATTTTTTATGAAATAAGTACAGATTAATTTTGAAAGTTTTTATTAGGAAAATTATTGCTTGATAGGGTTGTATGGTTATAATAAACCAACAAATAAACATGTTCAACTTATTACAACAAACCCAGGATAAGTTTCTATGTGTAACTTTATATGTTTTAGGTAGAGAAGACGATTTGGGACTGGGAGTTGATCAATATGAATAAACCAATCTGGTTGAGGAAAGCAAAAGAGGTTAATGATGCTGAATACAATGAATTTTACAAGGCAATCAGCAAGGTATGGTCAGTAACTTTTCATCATTGAAGCACAGGATGGTGCATAAGAATAACTGGTAAACGAAATCACAGAAATACGCATTACGTGAAATAGCTATTTATATTTATATCATATTCATAGATGGAAATGTTATTTCAGACCGTTAAATTTGATGTATATAATTTGATATATTTAAAATACATTTCAGACATTTAATTTGATACATATATGGTTTGAATTTTTTTTTTGTAAAAGTTTTCATGTAAGAAAAGTGTTCATTTTCAATGAAGATGCAAAAATTTCACAAGGCTGCACTTTAGCTGAAATTGAAAGTATGTGTGCCTTTGGTAAATATCTTTTGCTGTATATTCATTCCAAAGGACACTGAAGATCCACTTGCAAAGATACACTTTACAGCTGAGGGTGAAGTAACTTTCAGATCCATTCTCTTTGTACCAAAATCTGCACCATCTGGATCCTTCCAAGACTATGGAAACAGGAAAGAAAACATCAAGATGTATGTGCGAAGAGTTTTCATCACTGATGATTTTGAGGACATGATGCCCAAGTACTTGTCCTTTATCAAAGGTGTTGTTGATTCAGATGACCTTCCACTTAATGTATCACGTGAAACTCTTCAGCAGCACAAACTTCTTAAGGTTATCAAGAAGAAGCTCGTAAGAAAGGCTCTTGACATGATAAAGAAAATCCCAGATGCAACATACTTGGATACCTTCTGGAAGGAATATAGCACAAAGTATGTATTTATAGTACTTTCAGTCAGATAAATTGATTATTTTCAATCATCTCTACAGAGGTTCAATGCTATTCAGTGCATAATTTTATTGTCATTGTCTTGTTTCTTTGCGATACAATTTTTTCATGCAGAAATATTGCTGTACAAAGCTAATACATCTAGTTTAATGCTCTTAGCAACATATAATGTCCCATCTGTATTAAAGGCTTTTTATTTTTTGCAATCAAATTACATGTATAAAATGAGCTATATTGAATCAAAAAATAGCTGTTACATTTCATATTCAAATTTTAGTGTTAAATTGGGAGTTATAGAGGATCATTCCAACCGTACCCGTCTTGCCAAGCTGCTTAGATTCTACTCATCAAATTCCAAGGACAAGTTCACAAGTTTAGCTGATTATGTTGGCAGAATGAAGGAAAAACAAGATACAATTTATTTCATGGCAGGAACTTCAAGGAATGAAGTAGAGAACTCACCATTTGTTGAAAGGCTTTTGAAGAAGGGCTATGAAGTCTTGTACCTTACTGAACCAATTGATGAATATTGTGTCCAGGTGAGCCACAATTCTTGCAAAAGTAATATTCCTTTGTCTACTTAATTAAATATGCTTTGTTTTAAAAATTTATGGGTATCAAGACTGACCATGATTTAAAGGTGTGGTTAATTTGTTTCACTGTCACTGTCCTCTAGATAAAATGTCGCAGAATTCAACATCTAAAATTCGATTGGATCATCTTTTGCCTTTTTCTGTGTTCCAAAATCCTGAACCAGGATTGTTGATGGATATGTGCAGAAAATGTTACCCCAATTAGGGCTACACTATTTGGGGCTAAACTACAAAACATGATTTTTCCTTTTATTAATTTTTTGGAAAGTTAATAGTTTGGAAAGTTAATAGGGCTATGACAGTTGTGCAATGCTTCAACATTCCTGTTATTTACTGTGTTGTAGTATTATTTGGTAAAATATGCATATGTTTTTGGTAGCCCTGATTCGTTAGGAGCTAAAATTTACTTTTAAATTTTCCGTAGAGCCTGCCAGAGTTTGAAGGAAAGAAGTTCCAAAATGTTGCTAAAGAAGGGCTGAAGATGGGTGATGAGGACGAGAAAGCCAAACAAAAGAAGGAAGCTCTAGAAAAAGAGTTTGAACCACTCCTAAAGTGGTTAAAAGATGAACCCTTGAAAGACCATATTGAGAAGGCTACTCTTTCTGATCGCTTGACCCAGTCTCCATGTGCTTTGGTTGCTAGTTCGTATGGTTGGTCAGGTAATATGGAAAGAATCATGAGATCGCAAGCTTATGCCAAAAGCAAGGATCCTTCACACGAGTAAGTGCATGAATGAGTTGATAAACGCATCCTTGTTTTAATATATCCGATAACATTTCCAAAATGAGCCTTAAAAACCTGAATTAAACTAACTTTCATTTTCACTAAGTTTTTAATGCTTTACAACGAGCTCAAAGTATATATTGTTTTTTAATCAGCTTCTATGCCACACAAAAGAAAACATTGGAGCTAAATCCTGGCCATCCATTGGTAAAAGAATTGCTAAAGCGTGTGACAGCAGATGATAAAGATAAAACTGCCGGTGACTTGGCCAGAGTTCTTTTCGAGACTGCAACTTTACGATCTGGTTACACTGTCCAGGTAATTACTGTTTTAAAGCTAAATGTTTTCAAGTTGCAACAGTAACATAGATTTTTGAAACATTTTATTTTGAAATTGAAAAGGAATCGGAATTTACTTATTTATTGTAGCATCACTTATAATACTTGAATTTTTACTTCCCATTTTTACATTCCAGCGCTAGGTGGAACGTTCTGGTTTGGCTTAGTGCATCAAAGGGTTCATTCTTTGTATTCTTTTTTGTATTTAAGGATTCACTGGACTTTGCACAGCGCATTGAACGCATGCTTCGATTGAGTGTCGGTGTTGACGTAGATGCCCCAGTTGAGGTGGAAGAAGAACCTGCTGAGGAGGAAAAAACTGAGGAAGTTTCTGATGAAGAAGATGACGAGTCGAAGGACGATACAAAGGAAGATGACGCTGCAAAAGAGAGCGAAACCTCGGAGAAGAAGGAAGAAGGAACAAAGGTTGATGACGGATCGGAGGACACTGTCGAAGGTGAAACAAAGGAAACTCCTGCAGAAGCCAAAGATGAATTATAGTCATTTTCAAAATTTAAGCGAATGTTAACGGATATAGAGATGTTTTGAAAGACTGGTTGAGGCTAAAGCATGTCCTCTTGCTGTCCAGTAATTAGCAACTGATGGTTTACTGGCAACAGTGAGACGAGTATTTCGCAAAACAGGGAACTCATTTCATTCGATCAATATCGCTCTATGCACGTCCGTTTGTGAATACCTGCGTTGCGTTCTTTATAAATTAGAAATGCACAATTTCATATGCTTGTATTTCACCATCTCTTTAAAGCTTGCAAGTAGGGTTTGCAAGATTTTTAGCCGGACGTGATATAAGGTTTGAATCTGGGAGAATTTTAGATATGAATAAATGTTCTTTCATAGTTAAAAGATGTTATGAAATAGAAAAATGCTGTTGTGATATGTGTTGCTATTTTGCCTTCTTCTTGAGATGCATCTGCGCTTAAACTTGATTTAAAGTAAGCTGACTGCGATGTGAAACCCTTGATGGACGCTGATTTTGTTTCAATCGATTAAAATCGTTTTGATTTGAGGCTGGAGTAAGAGGGGCATTCCTTTCATAAGATGGAAGTTTCCAAGCGTTTTGAGCCCAAATAACAACCACATTGTGAACTTTAAAGACATTGTCGACTTTAAAGACAAGAGATAACTAAACTCTCTTGCGTTACTTAATGTCAGCTTTCTTACTTTTCACAACATCTAATAAAAGGGAGCCAGTCAGGCATGGACGGTCCAGGAGCCCGCCTTTGCAGTTGCCCACAGAATTTGAAGAACGTTCCACATATAATACCCATATACATTTTGTATAAAAGCAAGACCAAAATGCAATAGATAATTTTATAAAGACTGACCATAAACAGTGGATATAAGTTTCCAGTTTACTCTCGGTCATTATCCGAAGTTTTTATTACGGAGAGTCTCGGACGAAAGTATATGTTTTCGCTATTTCGTACCATTTTCAAATTTCTTGTAGTACCAAAAACTTTTTCAATATTTTGTCAGTTGCAATTACGTTTAATCGGTGGGGCTACATCAATAGAGTGATGATACAGGGCGAAGAGGTGGGACGGACTTTACACTTCAAGACATGATTCTGGGGGGCTGTCAAGACTAGGGGGTATCTATCCAGCAAATATGTATATTTATATAAATGCTACGTCCATGCAATACTTTAATTAATTGAGTATCGCTGCCTTGAACGACATGTCAAAACGAATATCCTTTTATGTACGTCATAAACTCATAGCTTCTTGGAAAAAAGGGGGACGGTGAAGAAAATCGAGAGGTTAGCGCATTCTACAACATAGTGGGGTTCTGGGATGCATGTGGTGGGGTATCACTGGACGAGTTGGTACACCGAAGAACAAAGACATTATAGAGAAAGTCGTTGTGTAAACATTAAAAAAGTAATAAACTCTCTGTTTTGTTAAATTTGATAACGTTCTATTTCTGGAGCTAGACAAAATATTACAAAATAAATTCGATAAAAAGAAACACGTAAGCGTGGTTAGCACAGATGGCTCATGATATCTTTTACCTAGAAAAGTTGTTCGTAAAATTCTCTCCATGTCTTCCAATCGAATATCCGGCCGGTAGAAACATGAATCACACCCAACATCCAAGCAGCGCCAACGGCAACAAAAAGGACCACAAGTGCAACCAACATGTAGAGCTATAGTAATGAAAATACTAAAATCAAAGGAGCAAATACGAGTAAGCAAGTATTGATCATGCCAAAAACGACTACATGCTTGAAAAAGAAAGAAACTTTCGGACAGTTTTAAGACACTTTTGGACAGATACTTCGGACAAGTTTGCTCGTATACACATTATACATACCAACTGATTCTTCTGTGTTCTAGTCATATCAAGCTCTTCGATAAACTTGATCTTCCCTTGGCCCTGTCCAATTGGACTTCCATCTTTACTCTTAGAACAAAACAGAAACAGAAAGAATAAATGTATTGTACTTGCAGAATATTAACTTTACAGACCATCAAATATTCTTGCTCGAGCAGAGGAATTAGCGACAAAAATAACAAAAGCTAGATTCCTGCTTCAAGTTGGGCGTTTTTGGCAGCCTGGGAAATATGTTGAGCGTTTCGTTTTGTCTCACAGCATTGTCCCAGCGCATTTTTAAGCAAATTTCAGCTTTTCCACACTTGAAGATGCATAAAAATAATAGAAAATAGCGAGGTTCTCGGAAAATGGCTTTCAACGACGAGCAAATTATCGAGCCAGTCAGAAATTTATTTTTCAGCATAATACAAGCAGACCTGATGGCAAGCATCACGTGATTAAATACTTGCATAGTTGTCTGTCGAGGGGATTTCTACCAAAGGGGTTGTCTACTAAAGGGTTTTTCTGCCATGGGGGTTCCTGCCATGGGGGTTCCGGCCATGGGGGTTCCTGCCACGGGACTCCTGCCAAAATTTACAATGCAGCAAACGGAGGTGCGAAGATTGAATCATCTTTCAAACTTATCTCTATAAAAGATTTTCTAGTGTTTCCGGCTCTTCGCGACATTTCTTATCGCCTTTGCCAAAGCAAGATGCCTTTTGCCTCAGGCGTGAATCTACCTTTTTAAAACATACAACATGGAATTAACAGCTTTATCCTTCAGTGAACTAGAGTGCACCTTAAAAACTTGCCCTAGGAGGAAAGCCCTTGTCATTAAAAGATGAATAGTCATGTTGAGTCCGTAAAGTGATTTAATTTAATTCAACGAGACACTTTTATAGATGAACATATAGATCGCTTAAACAAAGGGTGGCCTTCATCTCGTTAGTTAACCTACTTTGAAGGCTCCTCCTTAAGAATTCTGCTTCGATTAGTTTTTTAAATAATGTTATTGTTGTTGTTGCGTTCTTTAGCTGATCTGTTTATAATTTATATAACTAACTAGCTTTTTAGAACTGTAGTAGAGTCTAAATTGAATCAAATCAAATCAATCTGATTTATGCCAAAGCTAAAAATATTGTGCTTCCTTGTTTCCGATCCCTTCTCTGTGTACTTCTAAAAAACTATAAACGCCGCATGAAAAGATGATCAGAAAGAGCTGGATTTCAGTTAAAATTTATCGTTTATTGAAGTCGATATACTGTAGATCACGCATTAACCTGAATTTAAAAAACGCTTTTCATAACATATTTCTTATCCGAAACTAATGTGAACGAAAAATGACTTATAGGAAAAATTCTGTACCTGGTGAGCTTCCGATTGAACTTGCTCGAAATTATCTTCTTGATTTGGAGTTTTGTTTACCGACGACCTACAATTATAGCAAATGAGCGATTCACTGACTTAACTGTCAATAAAATGGTTAGAAGAATGTTTCGATTTAACGACAAAGAGCTAAGAAGATCTTTTCACATCTCAACAGATTTCCAGGCCTCTAAGATTTGGAGCTAGCAAACTTTAAATACGCTACCAGTTTTTAATGTGTTTATAGGTCTTCTTAACTTGACACGTAAGCTGATAACGATCCCCTCGTCAAAATCCAAGGTCAATTCAAGAGCCCTGCAGTTTTGACGTCATATTTTCCCCATGAGTGGTCGGAAAATATTTTTACCTCAAAATTGCTACCAGCGACATCATTTTGCTTATAAAAGACTAGATTGAAAAGTCAAATTCAATATTTCAATTTTTCCCTTCTCAAGACAATCCTTGCCAAATATAACTGGAACACCTTCCCATTGCAGCATGCAAATAAACAAAGCGAGTCAAAAACTACCTTAACAAAATATCACTGCCGCTTCAAAAATTTCGACGACCCGTACAATGTTGATTTATTTTCTCACTTTCATACAGCTTGCAGTAAAAAAACTTTTATCTTCAGCGTCAAAACAGCGGCATTGAACAACATTGTAATGGGGGGTAGGGGGGGGGGGGATTTTTCAAAAAAAGCTTCAGCTTTTCACAAGTGATCCAACAATTTTGGCAAGGGTTGTAGAAAGAAACAAAATAAATAAGTTGAATTTCATTGTACAAAAAACAGCCCCTTTCTCTTTTATACAAAATTCTTGAACTTGATGACAATCAACTGAGATAATTGAAAATGAAACTATGGTACCGAAATCTACTTACAGCATCATTTGCTCCTCGACAACAGAACCCATTTTTTTATTGAATTGAACTTCTTTGTCATGCAAAGAAAAAAATGACCTTCAGAGTTTCATGTTTTTCAAATGTTCCGAATGAGCATACTACCAAAAAGTTTACCAAGCTTTTGATAGAACAGAAAGTTTACAAGATACCAAACAACACCGAAAACAGCATCTTCCTTTCCAGTTCCATTCAACTAAATTTCAATGAGAAAGAAGAATTCATACCATGCCTGCCAAAAGATTTGCTACACTGCGCTAAATGTTCGCTTATTTTTAATGGTATCCTCCTATGTCCCTTAAACAACGTTGAATAGTAAGAGCTTAAGACCGTAAAATTGATTCATTGTATTTCTATCGAGTTGCTTAGGTAATAGGATTTTCAACCAACATCTTTTTTAGGGAGAATATTTCTGTATTGTGTGGCCGAAAACTTTCAATTTTAAAAAAATCGCTCATCGACTGTAGGGTATTTCAAAGACTTTTGGCAGGAATTGTAGTTTCTGTCTAAACAGAGGGGAATTTTTTACCATCTTGCTCAGACTGTGAAACAGATTCTTTATCTTCTCGTCCATCTACGGTTTCTTTGTCTTGAAAACGTTCCTGCAGTTCTTTTAATCGATCTAAAACCATAATGAGACATTTATTAACAGATATCAAATACCTATGACAATTTACAGCAGGAAATAAAACGATAAAGGTGATGATGATGATGATGATGATGATGATGATGATGATGGTTATCATTATGATGATGATGATGGTTATCATTATGATGATGATGATTATCATTATGATGCCTTCAAATACAGGAGTGACGTTCTACTTTAGACTGCATTTTACCAACAATATAAAACGGAGCCTACAGTAATAACAGTTTGCTACGAGCAGTGTCGTTGCGTCCGGGTATTCAAAATATTAAGTGAATATCTATGATTTTCAGATAAAAATATTTAAAATTGTAATAACTTAACTTGTTTTAGAAATCATTGTTGCTATCGTACTAACTTAGAATATCACTAAATTCATGCAAAAATAAGGTAAAATTCATGCTGCGAGGATCTATTAAGCAGAGGGATTTGTAAAGCTGATGCCGATTGTCAAACAATAAATCAAAGGTCGACCTACAGGTTACTTCCACCCATCAAAATTATTCTTTCGTGTTTAATTTTTTCGTTAATGAGCGAAAGCAATGATAAGGTACGCTAAGAAATCTGCAGCGTCCAACCCAAAACTTGCTTTCACACAAATTTCGTTTTGAGCAAAAACAGGTAACTTGAACGGTTGGGGTGACAAAGCTACATCAACAAAAAATAAAAATGTCTAAATCCCAAAGAACTATTTCAAGGAGAGTTACAAGTCTGTGTAACAGTTTCGTAATTCTAATTTATTAACAACTAAAACTAAAAGAAAAGTAGGCTTAGGCTACTTATACTACTTAGTTGTGCTGTTGTACCTTAGTTCTACCTGGATCTTATTTGCAACTGAGAAACCATTTAGGCAATAAACATCACAAAATGTTTTCATTCTCAGTACATAATTGACTACTGCAGCTACTTCAAATATTTAACTGCTGGCAACTTGGAGACACATTCTTCGCAGCGTATTGCAGAAACGGATGTATTGACTAAGCTCAAATGCGCTAAGATCCTCTACTAGCCTGTCTACTGCAAGCTGTCTAACTAATTCTACGAAACAAATTAACTCACTATTCAATACGTCAAATGAGGCAATTAACTGAATTCTTCTGAGCTGCTCTCTACCAAGTCTTACTGAAATAGCAAGGAACTGATAAGCATTTTGAACTTCTATAAACATTATGAGCCCCTATAAAGCAGACATGATACTTACTACCCTGGGATCCAGAGCGTCAACCATCAAAACAAGGGGGCGTCGAGGAAATAGGGCGTCTTCTTCCGCAAAAATAAATAAAGGCATTTGGCCCTTACCAAAATGTCGAATGCTCTTTCATGTAACAACTAATCTCTATTAATTAATGATACGTCCACCATGTAAAAAATGAAGACTAAAGGTTCGAGCCCGCGACCAACGACAAAAATAAATTTAATAGCATTTAAATATAGATTCCAATAACCCCTTGAGCTGGATAATGAAGTATACTTGATGGAAGCACAGCGAAACACAAGGAAAATTTCCTTACCAAGGAGATAATCAAAGGATTGCCAGGGCAATATGATAATTATTAAAAGGCATTGGTATACAAATTAATGTATAAATATTGAATTTCCGTACCCTCGAATTCCATAGCTAATTCTTTATATTTTTGACTTGTTGCTTGTTCATTTGCAAGATTTTCTGAAAAGGAGATTGAAAATGTATATCAAATAAAGAAATACCATATTCACTTCTAAATATATAAGCCACTTGTCAATTTTTTAATAAGGAATTAAGTTTTCACATGGTCATGTCAAATAATCAGACTTTGTGCCATCAATTACAACCTTGTTCCACTCAGAAGTGATAAAAAATGCCGAGAGACTAGCTATAACACAACCAGCACTTTGTTTAATTATTTTTAAAAAAAGGCGTATAAGTTTACCCACGATTTTCTTGAGCCTGTAAGACAAAGGAATATTTACAGAGATAAGGATTTATCACATAAATAGGCCTTCCAACTACAAAGCAGTTTTAAAAGAAATAAATGCAAGTGGACAAACCGTTGAGCAATTCAATCTGTGCCTGAACCTGGGAAACTTCAGACTGCGCGCTGTTTAATCGGTCTGAAAAACAATTATAATGAAGGTAGGTATAAGATGAGACTTGCCATGAAAACAGATTGTAAATCAAAAATAAAAAGTGTGAATTAATTTACCAAATAATTACGTATATTTTCGCGGCTTACTGATAGATTCCCTTTTTTTTTTGTTTCGATTTCTGAGATTTATCAATGTGTCATAGTAAAGGGTTAGAGTATCCAATTTGTGATTGAAAATTGAAAAAATAACGAGACTCGCATACCAAGTAGGTTTTCCTCTTCATCCCTTCTCAAATTATCGAAACAGCGACTTAAAACGGCTAGATCACCTGAAATCAATATAATACTACATACAAAAGTTAAACAAGACGCAAGCTTAAAAAAAGGGCGTGGTTATTTACGTGGGGGTTGACAACAACGAAACACAATGCTCAACTGGTAAAAACCTGGTTAAAGAACTGGTAAAAAATCTGAGTTCGCACTGAAGTTTGATACTTTATTATGGATTCTTCCATTACTTCCTCCGCGGTATTTATTGCATTGACTTTCCCGCTTGCATCTATAAGCTGGGCTTTCTGTTTTTTTTGTCAGAAATTGGGATAATGGAAAACACCCAGTCACCAAAGCGGAGTCTTCTATCTGCATTACAGCAATTGTGGATGTTAAAGGAGGGATGCTAGTGATCATAATCGAACATAAAAGTTGACTGGTGCATTTTTTTTAGAATTGGTCTTGATATTGCGATCGAGGAAGCTGGGATTGAGTTTGACCTAGACAATGTCAACATTCACTGAACAGAGGTCTTTTTCTTTCGATACTGTCACTTTTTTGAGATCTTTGAAGTTACGTCTTCAAAAATTGGTTGAAACATCGTTGATCATAATATGTATCGATCACACGTTCAATTGTACAGCTGGTGTAGGCCTTTCCTAACGACTTAGATGCTTTCTTGGCAAGGGTGGAAATTCTCCTGACATTGAGAGGAAGAAAAAAGTGTGTGGCAATATGGCAATAGGTTGAGGCAAACCAGTTATCTTTAAATTCTAGTAAAGAGTTTTAAAGATGCAGACGAAGGAACTCCTTGGTCCGTTCTTGTTAGGGCACGATACCTATTCCTTCACCATGTTTACACTATAGCAAAAAGGAAAGAAACCAATTTTGACCCCCTTTGTACTTGAGTAAAAAGAAACTTTCATTTGAAGCATGCGCAATGGCGTGGCGACAACGCCAGATTAAGCCGGGTTTTACAATCGTAATCAAAAAGTTTCGTCCCTGACCGTGAACACTGAAGTAAACAAGCAAGATTTGGCAATGGAGCCAAAGAGTTTCGTTTTTCAGCAAGACCAACGAAGAACAGAACTGTCCCCAGACTAGCACAGAACCATGATACCCAGTGTAAACACAAGGCCTATCGTCGCTTTTTCGGGCATGGAATGGAGGACTTCTTTTCTTTTTCTTGAACTTTATGATTTTCAATACCAATGAACTGACCTAGGTAATGACCTTGGACTTGCATATTGACCTTAGACATAGGTAATGACCTCAGACCTAGTTATTGACCTTACAACTAGGTATTGACCTTAGACCTACAATCGTCCACAAAAATTGTGAGACTGCTTTTCCTTCCCACCTCGCAATAATGCCAAAGTCTGTTTGGCGTATTTACCCAAAAGACATTATTACCTATCAAAATTATTTCGTAAACCATTCGTAATTTTGACTTAGGCTCCAGACAGACGTATTCGTTGCTCAACCCTTCCACCGTCCCCTTCCCTTCCCTGCCCCCTCCAAGCAATGTTTTTTGTTGAGATTTGGTGAAATAGTTGCAAATCATGTGTGCAAAGACCGTATACAATAGCAAGATCTAAACAACATTGCTTGAAGGGGGAGGCGGTCAAATACAATTCTGGTAGATTACTGTCAATAAATTTGTCTTGATTTTATCACTGGTCTCAATATATTTTGTGAAGGATTGTAGGTACTGACCTTACACCTAGGAATTGACCTTAGACCTAGGTAATGACCTTAGACTTACATATTAACCTTAGACATAGGTAATGACCTTAGACCTAGTTATTGATCTTACACCTAGGTATTGACCTTAGACCTAGGTAATGACCTTAGACTTACATATTGACCTTACACCTAGGTATTGACCTTAGACCTAGGTAATGACCTTACACCTAGGTATTGACCTTAGACCTAGGTAATGACCTTAGACTTACATATTAACCTTAGACATAGATAATGACCTTAGACCTGGGTAATGACATTACACCTAGGCTGACATCAACTATACATTGCTGAGTCAAAAGATAATATTCATAAGTCAATGTATCGAATGTCTCGAAGTAAGACCTACCATTAATCCCCTTCGCAAACTTTGAACAGAATTCCAATGAGCATCGTGATTCACGATTTTCTAAAAACAAAAACGAGACCATTATATCCAATGAACGGGATCGTATTGAAAAAAACTGTTAGCAAATTGCACAATGAGTTTTACTTAAGGACTTTCAGACGACTGAGTAAAGAGCATTATAGTAAAATATGGCTTTATCGCACTGATTGCAAAATGATTATCGAGACTATACAAATCAATGCGACCCTACTATTCACTTAGATGTCACTTAACAAACTGTTTACTTGTTATGGTGTTTCCATGACTGAATTTTGCCAAGACATCAAAAGAGGTTGATAAAACAACCTTATATGATAACAGGCACAGCATACTGACCTTCAACCTCCAATAGGCCATCATCAAAATCCGGCAGGTCCCTATCTAAATAAAAAAATAGAAATTTGCAACCGACAAAAATTTAAAGGAAAGTGGTGCTTAAAACCTATTGGTAATTTAACGATGATTTAGATTGTCAAGAAATCACTAATAAAGATGTCTGCCTGCTTAATTTCAGGGCGAAGCTTGGGGAAAACTATATCAAAGTATAACTTCTTGTGATATGTATGGGGTTTTAAGTCAAATAAACAAAATATGCATGCATATGACTATTAATACAAACGAGAAAAAACCTACATGAAATGATAGAGTACGAACCTTTGATTGATTCAGAGGCCAGCTTCCTTATGTAATGTTTAGTTTCGACTAGACTCTCTATAGAGGGGAATAAGCAAGAATTGATTAAAGTGCAATCTAGAAGTGCCCCGGCAACCAAATTTTGTAGTTATGCAAAGCAATCAAAATTTACAGGTTTTAATGTGGATGTCCCTTTAAAATAATCCACGGTCATCTTATCTTAAATCCTGCAATTATCAAAATTGCACGAAAAAGCGATCCAAAGAAAAGGTCACCTTGGAGATTCTCTAGCAGTTGGGTTTGTTCAGCAGCACCGGCGATGCGCTCCTCACCTAAGACAGAAATTTAGTCAGTGTTTTCGAATTAAATGGAAATCAATTCACGCGGACCTTAAGATAAAAATACAAAACACACAAAACTCACTCGTGTCTGTGCTTTTTTCGCTTGAAGGTCCGCTTAAATCTGCTTGTCGTTTTTCTAGTTTTTCTAAAAACAAAGACGGGCTCTGTAAATATAAACGAATAAGGGGCGATGGAAAGGAGAGAAGGAAGGAAGCCAAGGAACAATGGAAACGGAAAGGGGGGAAGGGAGGAAAGAAGGAATTTACACTTGACAACAAGGCAGGAATAGAAGGCCGAAGAAACATTGCGTAAGAAAGCCTTACGAACAATAATTGGGATAGGAAAAAGGAACATTATAATCAGGGAACCTAGATTTTTCCCATGAACAGTCCAAACACTAATCTCTAAACAGTAGCGTATCCAGGGTGGTAAGATTGGGGGGCAAAGGCGAATGGAGCAGAGAAAGTGCAAAAAGTATAAGGAGATACAAAAAGATACAAAAAGATTAGACCTGCCAAATACCTTTCATAGCAGAAAGCTGTTCTTTTGTAAAATCACATTCGGCTTGAAGGGATTCGATCTACGATGATAATGATAAATCAGTCATACTAGGCTATATTTTCAAAAACTTCTACTTCTGCCTCTTTTCTTCAAGCATTATTGTCAATTATCTTTCAAAATCCTGTTGCCTTTAAAAAGACAAGTCCCAAAATCCAACGTTGACCTATTTTGAGGTCTAAAGAAGAAAGTAAGGTCGACTTCTGAGGCTAACTTCGAAACAAGTCGGTCCTTCATTCACTGACACACTAAGATTTCAGGACTTTTCTACAGGACGTCCAAATTATCTGAGGTATTAGCGTGGCGGTGTTCAACAGCATTGGCACAATGTGCTTGTCAAAACTGCTATAAAAATCAAATTTCCGTCTTTGGGATGTAGAGTTTACAAGAATGACCGGCGGTGCACAGCACAATTTCTCAGTTACCTGCACAGCCAGGGTGCTTGCTCTTTTTTCAGCATCCTCGACATCGCGTTTTAGTTGTTGTTGCTCCTCAATAGCCTGTCAATATGAAACAAAAACAAAACATCAAGGTTGGTTGTACATGGAAAGACAAAATTTTGGGCAATAAGATCCTAGCAATGAAACAATGGAAACGTAAAATAAAAGCGTACCTTCGTTTCATATGATTTGCTGCTTGCTTTAATGGAGTCGATTTCTTGACGATACTGATGCACTTCTTGTGCTAGCTAAAGCCAAACAAGAGAATCTTTATTGCACGCCAAATTGCTAGGACCAAAGCAAAAAACCTATTTCTTTACTGGAGTGAACCCAGCAAAGATAAAGCAACTCTTTCCAAAATACCATCGGTTTTGAAAACGAGGAAAGAGCCAGCAAAGAGGTAAAGTCTTTTAGTTGGGGTATATGTTTTGTATTAGAGGGAAGACAGAACTAGGAAAATTATTCCTAAAGACAGAAGCCATTATAAGATGCCGAGGAGGCTGGGTCCGAGACTTGGAAAGAGAGGTTGAAAATTGGTGGCTGGCAAACAACTAGCTTCAAAGATTATAATTATGGTTATAAATCGGTCTCGATTCATCGTCAACATTGTAATTAAAAATAACTTTTCAGGAGTAGTACACGTGGTATTGAATTGATAGATGCATGATCAATTCATAATGGAAGGAGAAACAACGAGTTGACAAACGAGCAAAACGTAAAGGAGCTAAAGAATGGAAACTTAAAAAGAGCAAATGAACTTCAACGCCACCGTGGCTTAAGTACCTTGATTTCTCAAACAATTCAAAAGAAGAAGTGAATTGCACAACATAATATACCTGCTCGTTGTGGTCCATTAAATTTTTGATGTCGTCTTCAGACTTTTCATATAACGATTTAAAGTGAGTGCATTCGTCCTCGGAATAACTCAACGACCGCTAAAATATTGTAAACTCTGCATCAGTTTTTTAAAGTATATATAGTTTTAAAAATTAATCGAGTACAAGCATCAATAAATGATCTTCAATTTGCAAACGTGAGCAATCTAAACGTAAAAAAATGCATTCTGTAGAAACCTTATATAGTAAATCTGAAAACAATGAGTAACTGTAGAAAACTATATTGTTAAGATGAGCTGTTTTTCACAACAACACAACTCTCGTTAACACAACTAAGATAAACATATAGGAAGATTGTTAATAGTAACAACAAGTAAAATCATGCGCAAGGAGCATTCAGAAATGGTCAAGTTTTAAACAAACGTCTGCCATTATCCAACCTAATTATTTTCCTTACCTTCCCGAGGGCTCTGCTGGCAGGAGAAAACAATAACCAGCCAATAGCAGGAAGCAATGCACAGAACAAACTGAATTCAAACACTAACCTGAACATCAGTAAGTTTCTGCAGCGTTTCAGACTTCTCTTCGATCAGCCGTTGAATTGTTTCCTATAAAACAATGCCTTTTTTTTAAGGGTGAACAAAACGTTCGGGATGGTAACATATTTTGTTGATAGACCTCTATCAACCTGAAAACTACGAAATTCGAAGAATTTTATCAAATCGTACCAAAATTATATCAAGACAAGTCACAGCACTTTAAAACTTCGCAATTACAAATTAAAAAGAATCCAAAATTTAGAGCTATTTCGTAGCCTACCTTTGCTTTCATTTCATAATTTTCTTTTTCTTCTTGGGAGCTGAGGAGAAGCTTTCGGCAGTCTTCTTCGGGCATTTCCTTAAGAGGCCAATTAAAAGATAAGTAAGCCAATGCAGTGATAAGAAAGCCAGTACAGGAATAAGTAAGCCAGTAAAGCCAATGCGGGGATAGATTAACCATTGCAGGGGTAGTTAGCCATTCCAGGGAGAAGTAAGCGAATGCAGGTATAAGTAAGTCAGTGCGGGGGTAGTAAGCCAATGCAGAGATAAGTAAGCGAATGCAGGTATAAGTAAGTCAGTGCAGGGGTAGTAAGCCATTCCAGGGAGAAGTAAGCCAATGCAGAGATAAGTAAGCGAATGCAGGTATAAGTAAGCCAGTCAAGGGATAAGTAAGCAAATGCAGGGATAAGTAAGTCAGTGCAGGGGTAGTAAGCCATTCCAGGGAGAAGTAAGCCAATGCAGAGATAAGTAAGCGAATGCAGGTATAAGTAAGCCAGTCAAGGGATAAGTAAGCAAATGCAGGGATAAGTAAGGCAGTGCAGGGGTAGTAAGCCATTCCAGGGAGAAGTAAGCCAATGCAGAGATAAGTAAGCGAATGCAGGTATAAGTAAGTCAGTGCAGGGGTAGTAAGCCAATGCAGAGATAAGTAAGCGAATGCAGGTATAAGTAAGTCAGTGCAGGGGTAGTAAGCCAATGCAGAGATAAGTAAGCGAATGCAGGTATAAGTAAGTCAGTGCAGGGGTAGTAAGCCAATGCAGAGATAAGTAAGCCAATGCAGGAATAAGTAAGTCAGTGCAGGGGTAGTAAGCCAATGCAGGAATAAGTAAGCAAGTATGGTTCGACGTTTGATCTTGGGGAAATATTAGCAACTCAGTAGAGATTAACTTACGGGTTCTTTAGTTTTTTGGTTTTCTTAACTGAACTGTACTACACTTCAGCCTTATTTTTCTCTTTTGCAACTGAAATTATCTTCATTCGTACAAGATAAGAATGTTTCCGGTGATCGCAAAATATTTTTTAGAACAGATATAAAGCAGCATCGCCAATTTACTTTTGTTGCGACAATGTGCATTACAAGCAAATACTTAACCGCACCTTTGTAATAATGTCTAACTCGTTTTCAAGAATATCGAGCCTCGAAAGGAGCTCATCCTCTTTGACGAATGCCTGGAAGAAATAAAGAGAATGATTGCGCAAGCGAACACAACTGTTTGATCATGAATTTTACAAAGTGATTCTGACAGTGACTTTTAAAAACTTGCTTTAAGGCCAAATAGAGTCATATAAGCTGGCTAATACTTCTTTATAAAAATGATTCTGCTGGAAGAGCTATTCAACAGCATGCTAGAAAACATTTCAGCTTTCAAAAATAATATATTGTATTTTCAGATAACCTAAAAATAAATTGAAATTTGCTGACCTGGAATGTTTCATCTGATGATACGGATGAGTTGGCAATCATTCGCTGCATTGTTGCTAATTTTTGTTCAAGAAGTTGTTCCCGATTCATAGCATCCTGGAAACAAAAAGTTCAAACGTGTGTAGTTCCTTTTTCGGTAAACCGAGGTTCTATTATTTTAATCTTGATTAGCCGAACATGAATTCAAAGAAGATTTTTTCTTATGCCAACAAATTCTGGATTACCCGAACGGCTTTCTGATGGATTCAGCTTCTTTCCTAGCTATTTAACCAAATGATCAAAAGCAAATGAAATAAATCTGTTGACAAATCTTATAAATTCACTTCAATTCAACCGATTTATGCTTCATGTTAGTTTCAATTTCCATACAGCCAAATTAATTCAACAATAACCGACAACATCGATCAACTCAACAGTGCGCAAATCATTGTTCCCAGGCACAATGTCGCATGAAAAGATTGAAAAGCAGCTTTGCTACCCCCTTCCTACAAAACTCCCCTAAAAGTGCACTACTGCGTGCAAACTCAAGCAGTTAACAAAATTTCTTCTCAATTGAACAAAATAGCGCCATTTGTAAGTTTTATTTTCTATTTCACTGGGGCTATTATTTTACATCCTCGATTAGTTCGTATTTTGGAATATCCGAACAATGACGAAAAATGAATCTACATTTTCCAAATAATCACGGATGCAATATAGTTTCTAAAAATATTATCAAGGCGGAAAAGTAATTCATATTTTATTCTTTGGCATTCAGTGCTGTCAAATTCCAACCTTGAAAGATACTTTAAGAGGAACCCTGAGTTAGATGAAAATGAAACTGTTCCACTGAAAATGGTATGGCGTGGTATAGCAATATTTCAGGGATATTTTTAGTGACTCAGCATTCAACAAGTTACCTGCAAGTACTTGGACAATTGCCATAATTCTTGAGTTCGTAGGTTGTGATCACCCTAGAAATTGAGCGGAAACAGTTACCATATCTTGACAGTAGCTAAACAAACTAGAAGAACAATCTCTCTGGCACTCTGATCGATGCTCAAAACCTGTCCATTGAAAGTGTAACTTTCCTAGAAAGTTAGACGACCTATGAAAGTCTTTTTTGCTGTACAGCAGCAAAGGAAAATTGGCAATGGCTAACTCCTATATGCGATAACATATCATTCTATATCATTGTCACGTCACAATGAATTCAATTCAACTTGCAGTTGAGTTCTTTCAAAAGACATAATCAAAAAGAATGTTGGCTAGCACGTACAAAGTTTCAATGAACATGTAAAATTTGATATGCTTTAAAAAGATTTAAGACATTAAGAGAAACATATAATTGTAATAGCCATAATTCTTTCAGCAAAAATATACATACGTTTACAAAAGGCAACACCCTTCCAGTTGGCTTGTCTGGCTCTCTATAAAAAAGCATTGCATTTCTCAAATACTTATTCTACCTGGTTTTAGTTGTATTACAGTTTGATCAAAGCATATGAGTGTTCCAATTCAAACAACTTTCCAGGAATTATGGTATTTGCATGCTGTTTAAAAATGGCTGCATATTTAGGGACTTACCTGAAAAACTGGAGCAGATAAAGAGATCATAAATTTCTAACTAAATCAACTTGATAAGCTTCTTTTGAGGAATGGCAAGGACCTAGAATTGCTTAAAATGTTCATAAAAACGGAACTAAATATGTCAATTTCCAACAATATCTGAGAGTATGTCGTCAGTGATAAAGTCTTGGGGTCTGCTGAAGAGGTAAATGGTGTCAAGGCGATAATCAGACAATATATACCTCCTTGCAATAATCACTGGGGTGCAAATAAAAAAATTTTACCATAATTTTAAGCAGCAATCATTGCTTTTTACAATATAAGCTCCAAGGAGGCACACCTGTTCATTTTGAGATGGAGGTTGCAAGAATAACTGCATTTCTCAGACATAAAGAGCAGTGTGCCTATGTTACAAGCTCTCTTTGGAGCTAGTTTCCTGTTCATTGAACTGGGCATATTAATTTGATATTCCTTTTAGATCTGTATCTGACATTTGAAGTTTGAAATGTACTTGAGGGTTACCCTCAAAGCTCCTAATTTTAGTCCAAAATTTTCCAACAATATATTCTTTTTAGCCCTCTTTGTGTGATCTATGGTGCCATTTTGAATATTTTTGTGAGCTACCCCCAATCCTCTACTGTTTATTCTGAATACATTTAGCTTTTCCAGAAGTACACTGAGATCAGTAAACAATACTTGAATAACACAAAAAACTGCATAGTTACCCTAAGGCCTCTGTTCCATCAGGATTTATCAGTGTGACCAATGCAATGATGCAACCATGTGTGACTAAACAAAACAAGCAACTTTTAAGTCAGTCAACTCTTAAAATGAGCCTTTAACAACCATCAAATGAGGGTTGCAATAAGAAATAAAATTTCATTGGCAAACACAAAGCCCCTTCAACTTCTTAAAAAGCTCTTATATATCAAGTACATAATAGATTTAAATATTTGGCATCAAGAAAAAAATCGGAAAGGAATAATGCCAGGTATAATACACAGCACCTTCATATTGTGCAATTACTGAATTAATGTTTTTTTCATATATAGCATGATCTGCTTAAGAGTCGGTTAGAAAAAGCTGAAAATTTGTAACATCATTTTTTAGAAAAATATGCTTTATAGAGAAAAAACTCTGGTGCATGTAAACTTCATTTTTCTCAATTAGGCAGCTAAAATAAATCCACTGCTTAGATTTTATCATATCAATTGGTAATATCCTGTAATCAAAAAAGGCTCCACAAGCCACATCCTGCTAAAATTCATACCTTTCTTTGAATTCTCAACCACATCTACGCCAAACTGTAGGACATCACCTGACCGAATTTCAACAGACTCTGCATCATCAGCACCTCTACCTACCTGTGCATTGTTCACATATGTACCATTACTACTTTTTGTATCTTGGATGTAGAACTGAAATTAATCCAGACAGTTTGAAGTCACTCTTCTTTAAATAATACTTTCTGCTCTAATTCAAAATTCATTTCATTTTATTTCAACAACAGTAGGTGCTTTCTTGCTTGCTCTATACCTGGCTTCCAAAAATAGCACTGACAAAGGCAAAGGCCAAATTGAGAGCCTGTATGATGACAAATCTTTTTGGTTCTTCCTAATTTCAAAATTCAAAATGTCACAAACAGTTATGAAGAAAAATTATTTGATCTCAATCTACAAACATCTGGTCTTAATTTACCAGCGAAATTGAAATGAACAAGATATAATTCTTGATCAGTTAACTGACATATGTATCAACCTTCTAACAAAATAGCATATTGAGAAACTACATCAAGCCCACAATCTTTCTGCAAGTTATCCTAGATAACATTTAAATCTATTTGAAAAACAACAAAACTGTTGCATTAAAGCCAGTCTATTCTACCTTTACCATTAGATTAGTTAATTAGACTAAACCTGGCTCAAATTTCAGCCAGATGTAACAAACCACCTTACTGTTTTCCCTGTAATGTATAGGCATAACCCTTGGTTGTTACTGTGAGAGCAGATTTTCTTAAAATAGAACTTTTTGTTCAATTTCTTGCCTGTCTAAACTTCTAATTACATTAACTACTCTCGATTTGATGAAAGTCTGTTTTCTAAAATAATGCCAAAGTCAATTTTATGTGAAATTCCAGATTTGCTCTCCTTGTGCCTGCATCTGCCATATTCTGCAAACTGGGTCCTGATTAAGCTTAATCATCAAAGTAACAATGCACTTGCTAGTTATATTACTGTGGATTCGTATAATATCAGTGAATTTTAAAATACATAAACAACTGAAGGGCCTATAATTCTTTAATTTTTGTACTCTCAATTTGTATGACTGTGTGTTCAGTAAACTTTTCTTCTACGCATTGATTTTAGTATGAAAATAAACCAACCAGTAATATGGTGTTGGGCTAAATAACTACAGCAACATTAGCTACGGGTAATTGCAAAATTACAGTTATATTTTAAATGAGCGATTTCCTAGGATTTAATGAGTTTTCTTTGACTTGATGTAAATTCTTCTTGCCTACACTTAGTTCTCTGTTATCATTAGAAAGTAGTTTGCATATTTTTGCTTAGTAAAAGCGTTAATGAATGTAGTGGAATTTCAGAATTTCATATAAATTGAAAAATACAGAGATGCTGTTTCCTGATAACTCGCTTAAAAAACGAAAGAGACGAAAGCCTTCTCCAAGCCTGCAGGGAGTTGCATAAAGTTAACTTACTTTTCCACTTTCATACCAAATAATTGCATGGCTCCGAGAGAGAACCTTACAATCAAATATTAGATTGTTCTGGGCTGATTTGCACTTTGCAACGGCTCGCCCTATTTTCACAGGCTCCTTCAGAATGACTTTCCGTTCTTGAAACGGATGCGAATTAGGCCTCGCACCAAGTATAGCATAGGCCATCTTCCTGCATCCCTCTGTCCTAGATCAACGACTCAGTTGTTCATTTTGAAGGTTCAGCATTTGCATGCACTTCTGTTGGTTGTAAACAAACTACGCTCAGATTTCTTTATTACGTCAAATTGGGCTTCTCACTGCCGCCCAGGATCAAAGTTCTTCGAAACCGCCTTGGCACGTATGACAATAGACACTACGGTTGCTTACAACCAGAGGCCCGTGGCGGTCAGTTTATGAGGGGCAAGTAAAATTCAAGGTTCAATTTTAATTCAAATTCTACCACAGTATTACAGTTAACTCAAACATAATTAAAAGGGAACCTGCGCTTTTTAATAGGGAACATACATCATGTAGGTTCCTCGATCAGTCGTGTGGCCCCTATTTGGTTCTCGCTGCCGTTAAAGTAAAATGTCATCAATTAGCAGGCTGTATTTGAAACTCAAGTGACTCAAGAGAGGTAATTCTATAATGGACACCGATAAGCCATGGATGGCCAAAAGGAGGACGACCAGGCACTTAACTCTGTATCACAATCTATCTTTGTTACCGTTGGGACAACGCGTTTTGATGACCTCATAAAAACAGTCACTTGCCCAAGCTTCTTGAAGGTAAATTTTAATTTCCCTTCATATACCGCAGGACCGTCGGAACGAATGGAGGGGGGAGGGAGGTCCTTATCATTTAGTACACTGTTAAAAAAGAAATATACTACATCTGACAGTTGTTAGTTGCCAGTGGCGGATTTAAGGGGGGCAACTAGGGGCAGTTGCCCCTCCCTTGACGAGTTGAAGCAAGTATGGCGCCCCTTTTTTAGAAATTGTTCGCCCCTTTTTGAAGAACCAATAGGTTAATTTGCCTTAAGGATTACTTCAAAGTTATGTTGTTTATTCCGAAAATGGATCTGAAATTGTTGTATACAGCGTTCTCTTGTCATCAATTTTTGAAAATTTTTCAGCGCCCCCACTACCAACTGCCCCTCCTTCAAGTTTGCTTTGGATCCGCCCCTGTTAGTTGCCTATCTAAAAGTACAACTAAAACCTGCGATTCTGCTATCGGGCATGGCGGCATTTATTGGAAAACCCAGATTGTGCAAAAAACTATAATGGCGACATGTTTCGGATTTTTGGTAAAGCCTGATCGTAGTTCCATCTAGCAGTTTTGGAAACTATCTGCATCAGCACGAAAAAACCGCTATTGTATAGACAAAAGGAGCTCGTTTTGTGTGCGAAGAATGAGTACACTACGTGTAGGGTGAGGGGAACGCGATTATGTATTCAAAAGCTCTAGACTACAATGTTTTTTAAAAATTTAAATAGATGATCAGTAAAAAAAAAATTGATTAACGTTTCGCAATATGCTTCTTCAGATTCTGATGTTCTGTTCTACTTTTGTCTATTCTGTCATTGTTTTACTTCGCATATCAGGGCCACATCCTACCTTTGACCTTTTATTAGAATTACCTTTGCGTGCATTGTACATATATACTGAAAGCCCAAGCAAGATCCTGAAGGCATCCAGGCATTATCACTTTTAATGGTTTCCACTCCTTAAAGCCCTGCTAAGGATCAGGCATCTGGATATGTGGCCAAAAGCTTACCCAACTAAAAATAAAAGCTTTTGGCTGAAAATAAGGTCTCCTTCAGAATATTAACGGCAGGGGTAAGGGATAACGGAATTAAGGGAAGCACATCCTTTTAAGAAAAGTGCAAGCTGTTTCAGTGGTGGCCCCTCTAGAACTGATCCATAGATCTATGTAGGGCCCTGAGACCAATACAGAGCAGAGTTATGACTCTAAAAGCAGACAGAAAAATTCCATTTATAACAAGGAGAAATTCTTTCTATTGACTCTAAAGGACCTCACAATGAAGCAGTGCTTGGCACTTCTGCACTGATGCACCTTTGTTACTAATTCTAGGGGTTAAACGTTTTAAGCACATCTTGACTACAAATAGTTAAACACTCAATAACGGTTTCAATTTCAAAACAACAACTCAAGTATACATAAAGAACAAAAAGCTGCAACAGCGTCATAAGAGTACCAGTATTCTTCGTACACAGCTACAGGATACCTACCTTCACCTTAGGACTCTATTGGTAACATGCTCAATAGGCAAGCAACACTGATTGGTCAACCTCTACATTAATGTGCTCACGGTTCTGATTGGCCTATTTTGATTAACAACTGGCTACATATATTTCCTAGTGTAGAGTTTTCGATCTTTGTTCTGATGTTTTGAACTCTGAAGAGTGTCAGATGAAAAGCTTTAGTTTACTAAAATGTTTGCTTTTTTCCAAGCCATTTTTAAATAATAATAATAATAATCAAGAATTCTGTACTGTTGAACTTTGCACAACAACAGCAAAAAAATATGAAAGCTCTAACAGTTGAACCAAGCTGTGCGGAACTAGTGGCATCTCAAATAGTTGAGGGTCCTCTTGATATTCAGTACCTAGGGGTCCAGGGGTCCTAAGCTCTTAGGGTTGGGTTTTCACAGGATGCCATTTTGCACTTGGTTTTATCATTGTGGAGGTATGGATTGTGACCCTTGGTGATGATTTTGTCAATAAATTTGGTTTGTAAGTGGATATATGATATCAAATTCACACAGACTGCCTTGTCTGTAAATAAAAGTTTCCAGAATTTTCTCAACCCTGTTGCAGAAATTCAGCCATCAAGCCCAATGTCACTCATCATTTCTGCACATAAAGTCAATGCTGTCTTGCTACCCATAGTGTTTGGCTCTTGACTGTCTGACAACACTCTTTGTTATAAGAACCAGTAAATTTTAGCTCAGGCTGGCTGTTCTTAATTTTTTTAAAAAATCTGAGGAAGGATTGTTCTTAATTTTTTCTTAAATGAATAAGGTGTAAGCAGTGCGATTGCTAGCTTTTAGCTCTAGGGAGGTATTCAGACCTCATTTGCCAACAAAGTGAGTGAGACACCCTTCATTTGCAGACAGGTTTGAATATTCACTGTAAAAGCACCAACACATGGCTAAAAACCTCGTTTTGAGAGAAAATGTTGTTTAAAATTGCATTTACTGTAGCTCAGCCTGTCTGAAATTTGTTCTTAACTTTTGACCAATTTTGAGGCTTGTGTTCTTATTAAATTGTTCTTATAAAAAGGGTGTATTGCAAAAGCTGAATTTGAGGACATGCTACAATTTGGGTCTCCCCTACAAATGGTCCTTAAACCTACATTATCACTTACAACACTTTGAAATTGTTTTAAATCACCCATCAGAAGATAATATTAACAAAAACCCTTCCAGATATATTTTAGGGGCCTCTATACACGATTTCTTGGCTATAGAATTTCAGCAAAGCGTTTACAAAATACAAAATAAAAGTACAGTATTAATAACATGTATACAGGCCTTCCTGGGAGTAAATTAGCACAAGACTCGGACTGTTTTAGGCGTGTGATGGAGTGTTATTTTTGTTTTGTCTTATTTCTACAAAGGTTTAATTACATAGTATATGGAGACTTAAAAAACCCCATTCTTAAGTCATTTCTTCAGTTTTCTCACAACTCTAACAATAAATATCTCCGATGCAAAGTGATAACAAATAATTATGAATATTGCCAGGGATCTTTTCTAAATTTGATGCTGAAAATATTTTAGATGCAGTTCCTGGTTGGTGGCAGTCTTAATGAAACCCCTGAAAAATGTTAATATTTTGGCCCCAACTTTCTATCGTGTCTCATCAACACGGGTATGAAAACAGTTTTGAAAACGGCACTATTTGAAAATGGCGCAATTTGAAAATGGCGCGATTTGAAAACGGCACAATTTTAAAATGGCACAATTTTAAAATGGCACCATTTGAAAATGGTACGATTTGAAAACGGCACGAAACGTTTCGGTGCAAACGCTTGAAACAGAAAAATTCTATTACAAATTTCCCTCTCTTTGAATCCAGAGCGCTATCGTTCTGTTTTCAAGTGTAACCATTAGAAATTATCATGTCTCTGTCACAATCTGCCGTTTTCCAAATTTTTCTGTTTTGATATGAAAACGATACAACATTGAATAATTTATGGAAGAACAGGGCATCTTTCTCAGACAAATGTGCCATATTGCAGAAGTTTGTCTGGGGAAAGTTGTTTAGCATTGCATTGCACTTCGCCTATTTTTAAGCCAGCTGGCAGTAGGAACTGGATACTGAAACCACTGGCGAAAATCAATAGCGTACAGAAAGTGAGCTATCCAGCAAGGGGCCATTGGCAAAGGTTTCACATGAAAACTACAGCTCCTTAGAATTAGATGGATGCCTGATGATCTTTTGCTTAAAAATTCAACTTAATTTGCCATCCATAAATGGTATTTTAGAAACATGTGCATGCTAACACAGGTCTATGACAAAAATTCGACTTAGTTTTTACGAGCACTAGAAGATGATTGCAAATTGTCGTATAATAATCGTTTCTGCAGCCTTAGATGTAAGAATGAAATTTGCTGGACTACTACTAGCCCGATGCTACAGTCACTTGGTCCATGTCTGATTGCATTCAAGTGTCATCACAACAGCTCTTCAAAATGATTACATTGATCCAGTACAGCAGACAAGACTAGTGAAACACATCAAAATAAAAAACGTAAAACAATTTCTTTCTTTTTTGTCACCTCATTAGTTTCCAGCACTTTGGTTAAAAACAAACAATTACAAAAATAGGCATACAATTAAACACACTTGTTGGTGTCAGGAGGTGTGTACCAGAGTGTGCAAGTGCAATTGCACGCCTTTCCCGTGAAAGCTTGTCTACATACAATAACAATGTATTCAAGTAAAATAATTTTTATTTGGATTATGATTTGAGTAAGAAAATGTGGGTATGAAACTATTGTTTTCTTGTTTTTACTTTTATATATTTCTTTTACAGACTTTGAAGAATTGTGGATACAACAAACTTTTAATTCAAACAGGAGGTGGCAAAAGGGTTCAAAAAGATGAAATATTGCCTTGTGTAGAAGTGGAATCATATGATTTTAAAAAATCAATTTATGATGACATTTTGAACTCAGCACTAGTCATAAGCCATGCTGGTAAATTCACTTTACCTTTGCTAATTTCACTTCATAATTTTTTGTTTATCTAAGGTATATTTGATTTGATGCCCAGAAGCTAGACATTTATATGGTATATTAGCCTGTATTAGTTTTGAACAGGAACTAGATTTAAAATTGAATGGTAACTAGACTTTCTTGGTTATTTGCCTTGCTTTTTTATGCACTGAAATCTTGGCTGGGTTAGTTGTTCAATGTTGTCTTCATGTTCTCTTGGTTCACAAAATAATTTATTTGAAGATGGCACAAAATAGTGGAGGCATATCATACTGAAGCACTTATCAAGTGCTTCAAAATACTTTTTGCTAGTAACTTTATGTTAGTGATTTATGTTAGTTAGTTAGTATAAACTATAAATTTAAACCTCTACCTATGAAAAATGATGAAGTGCTGTTTAAACTTGTTCAATCCTTTTCATCTCTCAAAATGGTTTCTACAGGAGCGGGCAGTATTATAGAAGTTCTAAAAGCAAAGAAGCCTTTGATAGTTGTCATAAACGAAAAGCTTATGGACAACCACCAGTTTGAATTGGCAGAAGCGTTTCAGAATATGAATTATCTTTATTATTGCACTTGCAGGTAAACTTTAAATGTTTATACATAACAAGATATACTATGTTTGGATATAATTCAGAGACAGATTTTTTTAGGATCTTTTTTAAGCCTGACCATGTTTAAAAGTACAATGTTTACCATAAATTTCAATCTTGGCAAGGGATGCTTATTTGACAGGTGCCCTAATTTGATAATTAATAGGTAACGTTATATTTGTATTTTCTCAGGGGAGATGCAATATTGATTGAAACAAAATTTTATGTTTCTAAGTGCTCCACAAAGTATTGTGTAACATTTCTTAGAAAATTTAGATTTTGATGAAAGAAAATTGTAAAAGTCCTTACTTACAGCAATGCAAATGCTAAAACTGTCAGGGAAGGGTCCCTTAAATCAAGATTTCAATGAAACTACCATTGGATTGATGCCTGCAATTGTGTTGCTTTTCAACAGACTCATTAGTAAAAAGATTGAATTTAAGGGTTTAAACTATTCTCTGGTGTCTGAGTTTCTCTGAAAATATCTTTAATTCTATTGTCAATCAATTTGTTTGTTGCTTTCTGGACCAACCTGATTGTTTGTGTTGATTTGATCACTTCTGCTTTGCAGCTCTTTGGAAGCAGTTATTAAAGAAAAGGACATGTCAAAACTTGTGAAATATGAAGCAGGAAGACCGGAGATTTTTGGGTCATATATTGCTGAATTTATGGGTCTATCAAATGATAAAAAGGTGGCATAAATTGCTGCTCAGTTCTAAATATGCTCAGTTTTTAGTCCTTCATGACTACACTCGAGAATAATAGACTACAACTCAAAAGAAATGAAGCTCCATATTTGCTTTAAACCTCAAAAGGAATAATTTGTGATATGGAATAATCCTAAAGTTACTGATATGTTAAAATATATAGGTGTTACCTTTTTTTATTGTCAGCGAATTAGCGGTAGGGTTATGGCCATTTTGCAAGTGACAATGAGTTATAACCAGTAAACAGTCAGTGTGGAAATCTAGGCCCCCAACTGTAGAATTTGAATAGACACTTTTATTGGGACCTGGGCCTGAACTCAAAATGACACATTTGTGTTACAAATTTATGTTTTACCACACAATGTTGTAATCATATATACATAGTACTTAAAAGTTTATAACGAAATCTTGAATAATGTTGTTGACTCTCTATATGAAAGTAAGAAATTATCTTCTAGACAATTTGACTTGAGTGAATTTCTTATTGATGTTTCCCAATATAAAATGTTCTGCTGATGGTCAATACATTGTGGTGCAGTGAAGGACATGACAGTGTAGTTCTTTGGAACTTTGATCCCAAACAATTCTTTGTCCCTTATTTTTAACTTGTAAGCAAACATTGCTTCCCCTGCAAGATTAGTGCTTTCAGAGTTAAACCAATAAACTACAGGGTAGTTCAGTAGAATGCCATAAATTGAACTAAAACAAACATCCTCAGTTTCTTCTAGCAAAACTTTACTGTTTAGGCTTCCTTCCTTTATGTCTTTAATCCTCTGTTGCATAGTTAATAGTGATATTCTGAGTTGTTTTAACTCACTCAAGTTTCCAAGTTCTTTAGGGCTATTGTTTCTGTTTGAAACGTCAATAATGGTGTAATATTTTCCATTTTCACCACAAGGCATGCAACATCTTCTTACACATTCTGCTAGGTGATTTGAAAATGCTGTATAATTGAGGATGAAATTGTCTTGTCCAATTCTTACTACCAATAAAGAACCAATTGAAATGAAACCAGGACATCCCTCTCCAATTTCGAAAAGCAGTTTTTCCAGTTTATCAGTAGGTACATCTGCATAATCAAATAACAAAGCTTTCTTAATGCCAAGCTCAATAAACCTTAAGTCCAAGAGTAAAGATACCCACATTTTTCTACCATTTCGTGGAAATGCTCTAATAACAGAATTCCTAAAAACCTCACAAACTAGGTCCATGTTGAACTCTCAAAAGCAACAACAGCGACAGCACAGCAACAACATACTGAAAGCCCTGTGCACCTGCGCAAACCTCTGGTAAGACCAATAAATACTATCAATGTAGGTTGACAAAAACGACAAAAAGTCCCTTTTTATATTTTGAGTACCACGACAGTCCTTTCTTAAAGTTTTGATAGTCAACTGCATGCTAAAATGAATTTCTGATGTCAAAGTATGATTTTGCTTTGCCCATTCTTAATAAGATATCCATGTAAGGACATGAGGTAATTAGACGTCACATGACAAATTAAAGCTCGTTTTACTAAATTAAACGTATTTTTACCAAAAAAGATAAATTATCCTTCATATTCCACTGCTTAGACAAGATTTATTTTGTTAGAAACGTCATTCCAGCGACGTTTCTCCTTCGCAGAGGATTAGAAGGAACTTCTCTTGATTTAACCCCCAATTTACCCCCAAGAAACAGCGGCAAATCCCCGTTTACCATCACAATTCAGGGCCTCCAACGAAGGGGGGGCCGGGGGGCCATGGCCCCCTCACTTTTTGCAAAACAATAGAGCTTTTTCAAAATCTTTTATTATGATTGTTATATTTTCTCTTGGCCCCTCTACTTTCCAACCTGCGTCGGAGCCCATGCAATTCAATATCACCATTTGACAAAAAACTCGAAACTGGTAATCAAAATTTCCCCACCCCAAAGTGATACTCCTCTCCATTTCCGTCTGGGCTATATATGGGTGGTGGATATCATAATTCAATGGTAAATTGAATACTATGCATGCGTATCTATTTGTCAGTTCCAATTTGCTAGGTATAGGTCTAGTGGCCTAATGTGCAACAAAATTTGTTATATTTTAGATGCAGATAGATTTCCTCAAGGTGCAGTGGCCTTCTTGCTGAAGTGAAAGCATTTTTCACTAAAATTCAAAAGGTTACAACTTTAAAAATGAAACAACGTTATCAACACAACAGGATAATGCCATGTCTTTCCAACACGTCTTTTCGAAAAGTCAGGTTTTTCAAACCAATAATCTTCTTCTCTTTTTCATGGCTGCAAACTTTGTCTATCACCTCTTCATGATCGATTTAAGTCTTTTGCAGAGACTCGGGGCCTTTAGATTTGACAAACGATTATTTTCCATGGATGATCGAAGGTGTTTTTTCATCAACTTCATTCTGCTAAACAAGCGCTCGGCACAAGCTGAAGACACTGGTAGACAATAAAAGATTTGAAGCAGCGTGGAGAGGTTTGGAAAAAGAGGGCAAAGCCGATTGGGCAACATGAATTTCAGGATGTCCCTCTGTGACTTGAGGTCATCTTCATCTACCTTTTAAACAAAGAATGTTTTATAGAAAGGCTAGAAATCTTGAAATTCGCAGATAGTGTCTGCGGCATTTACATCCCCCAGTAAAATTTAAAATGCGCTTCTGTATGAGACCTTGCCTCTTCATCAAGGATTCTTTGAAAGTTAGACGTTCAAATTGTAACAAATTTCCATCGAAGTGTTGAAATCTTTGGTCCTTTTATGTGCAGATGCCATCCAGAATCGCGAAAAGAGTCTCCAGTTTTCCGTGTTAGCACGGGCATGTGTGCTGCGGTGGCAGAGACAACTTCAGCATATAGCAAAATTCTGAGTATACATCTTAATTATCGTGTTTGCAGCTTGCTTCATGCTTCCTACTGTAAAGGATTCCACGATCGAACGAAAAAGTCCCAGAGTTTCAAAGTGTTTCCTGACCAGTCAAGACAGTTGACAAACTTATACAGCAAGGACAAACTTGGCTATTTTCAGCCAATGCAACATAGAATAATCGAGAAAAAGCAAAATTGTTTACAATAGAATATCCTAAAATTTTTCAACAAGCATTCAGATTTTCCGACAAACAGCCTTATAGGAGTGCAATGCGCAGGGGCGGCGCCAGCCCCAAAATAATGGGGTAGAGCTGATAAAGAAGTCTCGGTTAGAAACCGGTACAACACCATACGAGAAATTGATAACCAAGTTGACATAATTTGAAACCCTCAATAGAAATGTTAAATTTCATAGGCAAAGATCTACACATATAAAAGCTAATAACATAAAAGCTAATTTAAGAGTGGAATTTTTTAGCTAGCAATGGTTTTAAACTTATTAACGAGGCTTTCTTTGTCTCTTTTATCTGCCATATCTTGATCGATTCTAATTTGAACAAGGTTTTCCAAACTTTCGTCTGACATTGAGGCTCAAAGGTGATGTAGCAGGTGGGGCTGCAACTATAATATCCTTATAGCTTTAAAAAGTTTGGATACAAGTTTTAAAGTTAATCATTGCCAATAACCTTTAACAAGGAAGGAAGGCAAAGACCACACTCTAAGAACCAACTTTTTGGCACAATAAAGCTGTGTTTAATAGATCATCTTCATTTTAGTTTCTCACTATTTACGGAACTAGTGATCCAACACAACTATGTCAGCTAAAATCTAAAAAGAACCGTAACTGACCATAGAAATGAAAAAAGTTCCGATCTCAGAGAGGAAAACTAACATCCCCCTTTATGTTTTTTTAATCTAGTTTTGAAAAAATTAAAAAGCCGATCTTAAAAAGAGTGGGGTGTACATGTCCACCCTAGTCCACCGGGGGCACTGCGCCCTCCCATGCCCCTCGTTGGTATCCCGGAACCCACCCACATAGGCTATAGTTTAAGGGGGCTAGGGCTAAAAACCGTAAAATACCTAAAAAGAAACGTTAAATTCATCAAGCCTTAGTTGTAATTTGATTGTGATTGCGTATTACTGCACTCACAAATCATTTCATTGCAATTGTTACTCACGAAGAGAACCACCTCAGTAACAAATACTCTGAAATGATAAGCGAAAAACTCTCAAGGCGAAGAAAGAACTCTATGGATGACATGAATGAACTCTGAAATTGGACCCAGATGTCATTTGAGCAATTCATATATGCTAAGCTTGATTATAAACATATCCATATTATGTTTTTATAAGTTAAAATAGAAATTAGAACATATAGAAATCTATAAATTCAAACAAGAACTTTACGAACTTGCAATATCATAACCCATTAGTGGTAACCTAGCCTGGCTAACCTAGGTGAAAAAAGACAAGAATTTCCTTACCTAGTCAAGATAAGTGAACCTAAGCAGGTTGAATCTGAAACAAATAATAAAAGTTTATCTTCTATTTTTTCCTGTTCTAATGTCAAGGCTTCAAGGATGAAAAAACATCAAGGCTTCTAAATTTTTTCGGAAAATATAAACTTCTCGCCCCACCTATGAATTTACCTAACTAAACCACTGGGAACATCTTTTTTCCGTCCATTATTCATTATCTATCTAGGCAAATATTGAACAAGTAAAATCATGGGAAGATAGCAAAAGAACAAAACTTCGAATTACATCCACACACCATTTCCATCCATTTACAGTACTATTTACATTACTACTATGAATTGTTTTCAGTATTGGTCAGCTTAAGCTTTCCCGTCTTTAAGATGTTATTAGCATCCACTATGTTCTAGTAAGTTTTGTTCTTATCAAAAATGTGTGTATTGGCCTATACTCCACACCTCTAAATTCCAGTGCACACGGCAGATTTTATTCTATGAAAAACGAAGGTTTTTGTCTTTTGCCTTTCAAAGACAGAAATCTGCTGTGTGCGATTGTCAAAGACAACAATTTTTGACTTTGAAAGACTGTCTTCGAAATAAAAAAATTTAATTTTGGTAAACAATCTTTAAAAGACAAGACAAATATCTGTTGTGTGCATATCCTAAGGACAAAAATCTTTGGAAAGACAGATTGAGTGGCCAATGAGCGACATTGTTTAGATCACATGACGCTTGAAATTTCCTGCCAAGCAATTTCTTCTCATGCTGATAAGTTTCTTTAACGTTTCATGTTGTTCTATAAACTGTTCAGCCGAACAGATACAAAATATTCAAAAAATCCGAATGGTCGATGCCAGGGGACATGTGCCCCCTGCCTACCCTGCAGCCACGACGCCCCTGATTTGCCACACGACTCTTTGAACGAAATATTTTTTTCTGAGTGACTTATCATTTGGTTGAATCTAGTTAAATTGCAGCTGAATTCAGTTAAGTAGTATCTCGGTTAGCCCATAACAAGCACGGCGACAGAAAGTAACGTTCTCCGAATTTCTATTTCGACACCATATCCATAACCAACAAGTCAGTGAAACTTGCCACATCTGTATCTGTAACTGTATTATGGTACTTAGCTACTAACTCACTAAC